GTTATTTAGCCCCTGGAAAGACAGAGTAAACAGAGGGCAGAAGGCCTGGGAAAGAAGGTGGGACGAAATCAAAGACTGAGACTAACAGAAGCAGAGAAATAAAATGAGTTTAGGCTTTGAGGTCAAACCCGCTTGTGTCTCTACCATGGTGGGGTATCTGAGGGCAAACTGTGTGTCATCATTTATACAATGTGAACAAAACTACCCATCTCGCAGGTTGCATTTGGAGAACAAATGAAAGATGATGATGTCTAGAAAGCACCTGTCGTACTACAGAGCTGAGTCTCTGTAATTTATTGCTAATTTTACATTTTGGTTGTGATCAGCCCTGCTCTCTCTGGGGTCCCAAGAAACCTTACAGAATCAAGGACTCAGGGAGTTCCTTACCGTATAGAACCCCAACCTTGCCAAAGAGACTCCAAAAGGATGGGAGCTATGTGGCCGCACAGGTGTTCATATCCCACCTAGGAGAGCCAGCAGGGCTAAAGGGCCCTTGAACGACCGGTCGTATCAGGAAAAGGATAAAGAAACTAGTTTTAAACATCCTCTGTACTCGGCAGTATTTTTTGGAAAGAAAGAATAAGCGAATGGATGTATGACCATATCCATGTTTATTCTTCTGGGTGAACTTGAGAATAATTTAACCTGAAACAGTTTCTCCTTTTCAGTTCTAAAGATCACCCTGAGATTTTATATAAAATCACAGCTGTGGAAGTTTCTGGAAGCTTTTGATGGCAGAGTTAGGACTTCTCTGTGGCAAGGCTAGCTGTCCACCAAGGAGCTACATGGGAGTGTTCCACTTCAGTGGATTTACCATGATCCAAGTGTGGCTGTTTGAGCACCTGCATGAGTCTTGCCAATGCCTCTAAGCTAATTGGACTTAGGGGCACTGACTTGTGCTCTGGTTTCATTTTAAATTAACAATCTCAAAATTTCCAACAAGCTCTCAAAGCTGGCAGAGAGTTCTACCATATTTCTTCACTAAGCTTGCCCTCCCACGTTCTGACATGACTCACGTTACCGTCTCTTTTCAAAACTTCTTACCTTGTACTTGCCTGTACTCAGCCAAGAACTGTGCCTCAATCCTTCACTTGACAAAATTGAAACATTCCCTTAACACCATCAAGACCTCTCTCTTTCTTGAACCCAGCCACCCTCCCTTCTTGCTCCTCTTATTAAACTGAGAAATGGCCTTTCCTCCTAGCAAAGGAAATGGACACATTCTCTTGATCTGGTCCCATCTTACCTCCTCAAGGGTCTTATCTCTCCCCTCCCCACCCCCCCCCACCCCCCACCATCTTCAATGTCTCCCTCTCTGCTGGGCCATTCCATCAGATGGTGAACACATCTCCTGACTGGACCTCATACGCCCCTGCCATGCACTCATCCACTGACATCTTGCTCACCTAGGGCATCTCCTCTCTTCCAGTCAATCAATCACTATCTATATGTGACACACATCCGAATTTATAACTCCAGCCAATCTCTCTTCTCAGAAGACAACATGTGTACTTGACTTCCTCCTGACATTTGGTGGCATTTCAAAGTTAACATGGTCCTCTGAAGAGTCCGTCAGCTCACCTTAAGTAAAAGCCATCTCTCACCCCAACTTCTCTATCTCTGTAATCTGAGACACTATTAGGTCTTTTCTGGACCATTACTAGAGAGCTTCCTTCCTAGTCTTCTTGTTTCTTATCTTGCAAAATCACAGTTACTTCTCCACTTAAAACTCTTTATGGTCTTCCCATTGCATTTTTTTTAAAGATTTTATTTATTTATTTGAGAGAGAGAATGAGATAGAGAGAGCATGAGAGTGGGGAGGGTCAGAGGGAGAAGCAGACTCCCCGCTGAGCAGGGAGCCCGATGCGGAGCTCGATCCCGGGACTCCAGGATCATGACCTGAGCCGAAGGCAGTCGCTTAACCAACTGAGCTACCCAGGCGCCCGATTCCCATTGCATTTTTAATAACATATAAACTTGTTAGCCCCACCTCCAAAGACCTGGCCCATGCCCTGCCTCCCCAACCTCAGCTTGGGGCATTCTCTCCCTTGCCCACTATTCTCCTGCTATCCTCACCTCTTTATCAGTCCCTTGAACATACCTATCTCCTTTATAGCTCAGGGCCTTCATGCACACACTTTGTCTTTTCCTCGCCTCTCCCACGGATGACTCCTCATCTTTCAGGTCTTCATTCAAATGTCACCTCCTCAGAGAGGCCCTCCATCACCAACCAACCTATTAGAGAGGTTTCCTCAATTGTGTGCCTATCATTGGGTTTTACCCTTCATAAAAGTCATGAAACTTCGTAGTTATATTTTTGCCAGTTTGCATATGTGCTTTTTTTGCCTCTTTCCTCCCCAGTAGGCTAGGAGCTCAAGGGGACAAGCCCAGCGGTAGCTTATGCACCAGTTTATATCTGGTGCAGAAAGAAATGCTAGGGCTTTTCAGACCTCTGCGCCTTACCTTGTGCACTCCTTTCTGCCTCCACCCAAAGCTAGTAGGGACATCGGCAGCCTCCTCTGATGCTTTCTGCTACTGCTGAGGAGACAGAGTTTCCCCACCACTAGAGCCCCAGGCGCTAGGCCCGCGTGGAGAATCCATTTGTACCTCTGACCCTTCTAGGTGCCAAAGCTAAACTGTTCTCTGGAGCCCTCAACATCCAGAAGATACATGGACTAAAGAAATGCTTCTCTCCCCTTCTGTGGTACATTCTGTTAGCTGGGTGCCAAAGCCACATACCTTCTACTCTCCTTGTCTCTAATGTATTACAATGGAATTTTTCAAATTTGATTTCTTGATCTCAGGAAAATAGAGAACCCAGATGTTGCTACAATAATTTCTTTTTTATTTTGTTGTTCCAATTGTGTGGAGTATGGAAAAAACAAATAATATAAGCATATTCCGGATCTTCTGTATGACCACCTTATGATCCAATACTGACACATAGTTTTAATGAACACAACCTATTTGTATTTATAAACAAATGCATTGAAAGTGTATTACATTATGAAATAATGAGCAAAGATTTCAGCAATTGTGTGAAAAGAAAAAAATGGTGGGAAAATTGGGTCTTTACATGGTATATGGCAGTCTAAATATGCTCCAGAACAATGTGTAAAGAGTTTGCTCTGTTTTGCGTTGATCCCATCTTTGAATGTATCAAATAGCAACCATTGATTATGTCTATACATTTTTAATTAGCATTATAATAAAAATAATTTGTTGGTGTTAGGTTCCCCAAAGAATCTTTTAACCTTTAAAACTTGTTAATACACTACTTAAACTTTGAAAAACTTTATCAAGGAGATTTTAGAGAAAACTATTCTTTCTGGGTTTTTTTAACTTTTTTTTTATTAGTTCCAGAAGTAGAACTTAGTGATTCATCAGTGGCATATAACACCCAGTGCTAATTACATCAAGTGCCCTCTTTTTTTTTTTTTAAAGATTTTATTTATTTGAGAGAGAGAGAATGAGAGAGAGCAAGCACATGAGAGGGGGGAGGGTCAGAGGGAGAAGCAGACTCCCCGCTGAGCAGGGAGCCCAATGCAGGACTCGATCCAGGGACTCCAGGATCATGACCTGAGCCGAAGGCAGTCGCTTAACCAACTGAGCCACCCAGGCGCCCCTCAAGTGCCCTCTTTAATGCCCATCACCCAATTGCCCCCTCCCCCCCAGCCACCTTTCTTCTAGCAACCCTCAATTTGTTTCCTAGAGTTAGCATCTCTTATGGTTTGCCTCTCTCTCAATGTTCATCTTACTTTATTTTTCCTTCCCTTCCCCTATGTTCATCTGATTTGTTTCTTAAATTCCATATATGAGTGAAATCATATGGTATTTGTCTTTTCTGACTGACTTATTTCACTTAGCATAATACCCTCTAGTTCCATCCACATCATTGCAAATGGCAAGATTGCATTCTTTTTGATGGCTAAGTAATATTCCATTATACTTACATATATATATATATATATATATACACACACACACACACACACATATATACACACACATATATATATAGGTCTCTCTCTCTCTATATATATATATATTCCATAGATATATATTCCATAGATATATAAATGTGTATTATATATATATGTGTGTGTGTATATATATATATATATATATATAAAGAAGAGGTGATATATATATATACATATATATATAAATGTGTGTATATATATAAAGAAGACGTGATATATATATATACATATATATATATAAATGTGTGTATATATATAGATAGATAAAGAAGAGGTCATATATATATATGTGTATATATGTATATATATATATATATATATATATATACATACATATATCACCTCTTCTTTATCCATTCATCTGTTGGTGGACATCTGGGCTTTTTCTGTCTTTCCATAGTTTGGCTATTGTGGAGATTGCTGCTATAAACATTGGGTGCATGTGCCCCTTCGAATCACTATGTTTATATCCTTTGGATAAATACCTCGTCGTGTAATTGCTGGGTTGTAGGGTAGCTCTATTTTTAACTTTTTGAAGAACCTCCATACTGTTTTCCAGAGGGGCTGCACCATGTGTTTTTTTTTAAACTTTTGTTTTTAATGAACAAGCCAACCTCTCTCTAAGACTCAGACCGAGACTCCCCAGGGTTAGGCTGCAAGATAAACCTAAGTTCCTGCCATCACAAGGTACTCAGAATCCCCCACTAGCCCTACCCCCCAAAACTGAGGTAGTTTATAGGCCCATGCTTGACTCTCTTAGAGGATGAATTCTCTTCTAGAAAGCCACTTGTGTAAAAGGTCTCCTAGTACTCACCCCTCAGTCCTCATGCATAGATCTGCCTTATCACAACGTGGGCCCAATCTGGGATCTCCACTATCCTGGCATGAAGAAGGACTACCTGAAAAATAAATGAGTAAACAAGCAATTGAACAAAATAAAGAATTAATTTGCCCAACAGTAGAAAAACTGTTGTTTGCTCACCGTATGATTTGGAGAAAAGTATTCTCTCTTTCCAGGTAATAGAAGATAGATTCAAGGTAGAAAAGGATAAAGGGAAAGCAAAATCTCCCAAGGAGAAGAAGACCTCAAGTGCCAAGGTTGCCAAAGGAAAGGGAAAGGATCAGCCTGAGGCAAACACAACAGTGAAAAAAACCACGCTATTAAAACGGAGGGGAGAAGACGATGACACCAAACGTTACATCGGTCAGTGAGATGCTCCTCCTGTGGGTTACCTTTCACTTCCTGCCTTCCAATCTACAAAGTAACTTGAGAAATCATTCCAATAATGACGCTTAATCTTTCCCAGGCTTTTCGCTCTTTATAAAACCAGAAATCACATACCACCCATGATACCCTAATAGGAAAATATTGCTTTTTGCAATTCATTTATGTTTTCAGCAAATATTTATTTAGCTTGTGTCTTGCTGTGGGCCTGTTTCCATAACGCAAATGAAGGATGAACTAACGAGCTGATTGTGCCACCAAGTAGCTTACTACCTTATTCGGAACATTTTAAAAAGTCAGACATAATTATGAGGCAAACTAGAAAGTGATGATTGTAATGCATGAAATACGATGGTGATAAAATCAGACCAGTTAATTTGGGACTCACACAGAGCACACAGCTTCCTGACCTGACCTCAAATTCTCCCACTATTAGCTTCTCTTAGAGCAACTAGAATTTCCTCTCATTTTTGATTATTGATGTAAAACTGGTTTAACCTGTGCAGCCTGTGAGTAATTCATTGCCATCTGCCCTTGGACACAAATGGAGCTTCCTCTTATTATTTGCATCCCATTTAAATGAGATGGCAGGCCTTTCACACCCCTTGTCACTTGGACTCCCCAGACATAGCTGCACTCTAAATCCCCGAGACTCAGAAGCCATGATATTTTGGTTTCCATAGGCAATATCAACACAGATTTGTTTAGGGATAGAAGAAAAATTATTACTTAAAAATTAAAAGTTTGTGCATATTGCATTATTTGTAAATTTATCTTAATGGGCTATTGTGGGGTTTAATGTTTTCATGTACTATCTAGCATGACTATGAAAGTATAACAATTATTTTTATCTCTCTGAATCTCACAGTCTAGGAGAAACTCAGTGTTTTAACATTAATAAAACAGTGTAGCCAGGGCTAAGTAGAGGGAAAAAATGTTAGGAAAGTGCACAATATATTTTAAAAATTTAATGCAAGAAATATATTATTGCTCTGTAACCCACACTCAGCATTCACACCTATTGACGTAAATACACAGAATACTTTGGTAGGGGGCACGTCCATATTCGATATTTCCCTCTCCTGTAAACACCTCTACTTATAAAATACCACAAAAAGCTGCAGCTACTCGTAATTCAGGAGTAAAGCCAGATGTTGCTCAAAAGAGATTGAACCAAAAAAAAAAAATCACAGCCTAAGCCTTTTTCTGTTTACAAAAACCCAAGCACACATTTTCCATGAGCACAAGCCCCATGTATGTTTGTCCTTCTATTATGACTCTATCTCATTTACAAAAGTGATTTAATATTTTGTAAAATGGCCACAGCCTTCTTACTGGAAGGGTAATAATGAAAACCAGTCAAAGGCCTGCATTCCAGCCAACTGGACTGTTTTTGGCGAGCCAGAGGTATTATAAACGCATGCATAATGTATGTAGCCATCGAACTGGCTGGGTGCAACCTGTTCTCTTTTAAAATGACGGCCGCTCTTCCTTATTTTGAACAGACGATGAGCCAGATGATGGTGCCCAGCATTACATTTTAGTTGTGGGCTTCAACAATCCTCAGCTATTAGCGATTATGACTGAGCTTGGCATTCCCATAAGCAGCGTGATTAAAATATCTTCAGAGAATTATGAACCTCTGCAGACACACCTGGCAGCAGTTAGCCTGCAGCAGGAAGCTCTTCTTCAGCCAGAAGGTATGCAGTCTGCTACACAACTGACCAAAGCTCTCAATATTATCCACAATCTGTAAAGTACAAATAGAATTTTCTGTCCAAAAAAGAGTCATACAATACATTCGTTATTAAATCCTTTTAAGACTTTGATTTGCTCTTTATTCTGCTTGCACTAGCCAGGTGCTGTAAATTTTGCAAATTAAAATCATACTCTGTTTATATCCCTGTGCAGCCCCAGAAAACATGGACTATGGGTCAGAAGACTTGGTTATCTAACTACATTTCTCAGGAACATTTAACCGATAACTTTTACTGAATGTGTGGGCTGGATAGATCAACTGTAGATAATGTGTTCTTCCAGAAGCCACAGTCACCACGTGGCCCAAGGGAGGTCATAGCCTTGGATTCTTGCTCTGCTTTGCTTCTGGCTTATTGTGATAAATCAGAGAGGGCACTCTGTCTTCCCAGCTTTAGACTAGGAAGCTGTGGGGTGAGGTCCCATCCACATGAGCATTCAGCCATTTGGGGCCACAGGGTCTTCATCTAAGGGAGTTGTGCTAGAATACCACTGTGGGAAGGGAACTGAAAGTTACTACATACTTTAGGTGATAGAAATGGATTCGGTGTAAGCCTGTGTGACCTGGAAGTCCAAGATTTTCTGCCATACGCTGTTGCTTTTATTGTTATTTATTAATAATATCATTTGCACAGTGTTTTGTAATCCACACAACCACATCCCAATTTCTATAACACTGCATTTTAAAAATCTGCTGTTCCAGGGTGCTCCTGGGTGGCTCAGTCAGTTAAGCATCTGCCTTCGGCTCAGGTCATGATCCCGGGGTCCTGGGATCGAGCCCCGCATCGGGCTCCCTGCTCAGTGGGGAGTCTGCTTCTCCCTCTGCCCCTCCCCCTGCTCATGCTCTCTCTCTTTCCCTCACTCTCAAATAAATAAATAAAATCTTAAAAAAAAATTTGCTCTTCCAAGTTAGAAATTACTACCACTGAGGATAGTAAAAGCTACCATTTATTGGGCAGTTGCCTTGGGACTAGACTTAGTTCTAAGGGCTTTGAACACATTGATTTATGTTCTTTCCACTACCATCCTTGGAAATGTGTGTTATTACAGACAGTCCCCAACTCACGATGACTTAATTTTTGAACTTTATGATGGTGTGAAAGAGGTACGCATTCAGTAGAAACCATACTTTGAAGTTTGAATTTCGATTTTCTGCCCAGACTAACAACATGCTGTATGATCCTCTCTTGTGACTCTGGGTGGTGGCAGCTCACAGTCACACACGTGACACGAGGGAAAACTACCAATACACTGACAACATTCTGGACCCACACAGCCATTCTGTCTCTCACTTTTAGTACAGTGTTCAACAAATTACATGAGATATGCAGCCCTGTATTATAGAAGAGGCTTTGTGTTAGATGATTTTGTCCAACTGTAGGCTAAGGTAAATGTTCTGAGCATGCTTAAGGTAGGCTAGGCTAAGCTATGATGCTCAGTAGGTTGGGTGTATTATATCACTTTCAAATGTTCAATTTACAATGCGTTTATTGGGCTATAGCTCCATCCCCACTGTAAGTTGAGGAAGATCTATTTTTCCATTTTACCAAAAGGACACTCAGCCTAGAGGCAGCTATTAAGTAAAGGAGTTGAGATTCAGACCCAGCTCCTCCTGACTGTCTCAAAAGATAGTTGTAACATTAAATAACTTACTGAAGCCAGTGAGAAAATGTTCCATAAGTGCATAGCCTCTCTGTAAAAAATATTTAATATATAGAAATAAAATCACGGAAAAATAGACTTTATGATAGAATCCTGAGGTCTTAGTAGTAGAACCTATTTAGTTATAGGTCTAATAAACATTAATATTTTAGGCAAAATTTCATGTGTAACTTTATGGGAATCTGTCATGATTTTAGTCAGAGCACAGATGTCCAGAGAAGCCTGTAGCTATTTGAATGTGACCAAGGGTTAACTGAGGCATCAGTCATTGATCCGGTCTATTTTTAGCCATGTGGGATGGAGAATTGGATCAACAGCAGTTCTAACCAGTTATGAAACAAACACACTGAGATGGTCAAAAAGTGATTTGGCAGCAAAACTGCTCCCACATAGATGCAATCTAAGGATGATGGAAATATCGAACATATTTAGCTCTGCAAATGTGTGACCTTATCATAATGTTTCTGGGCTTCAAGTGTAAAATGAAGGGGTGGGATAGGCTCATGTTTAATATCAATTTCAGAAGTAAAATCCTCTGGTTTCATAATTGTATAGCCCAAGTTTGAAACCTTCTCAAAATTATATTTCTTTATTTGCCTCTCCTGCTACTGCACAGACATCTTGCAATGCATATAACTCACCATGTCCACTTAAAGTGGGAAGAAATTCAACATTCTCATTTTGTTGTATTAACATGTTGCTATAATTAGACACAGAGGTGGAGAAAGCGAAGAAAGAGAATGCCATAAGAGAACTTGAAATTTTCTGGAAGTACCTGGAACCAATTCTGAATAATGAGAAACCTGAAACAAATCTCTTTGATGTTGCTCGACTTGAATACATGGTCAAGGCAAATAACTACCCTTCTGACTGGGCGGACGGCGAAATGATGGTTAGTACATGGATTTGTGAGTGGTTTGGACATGTGGTAGTGTGGTTTCATTTATCATATTCATTCATTCCACAGACATTTATTGAGCACTGACTATATACATAGCTTTGTGCTTGACTCCTTTTCTTCAAGACAGTGACAACACTCAAAGCCCAGTGATGGTTACAGCCTGGTTCTTTAGCTTTTAGTGTATGAGTTAATGGCAAAGAATAAGATGGAGATGGAAATGAAGGATGGTAATTCTTTTATTTGGTGGCAGGTGGCTTTGAGTCATACATCAACCACGTTCTTGGCAGTAGTCTTAATATATAACATATAATAGTAATTTTACAGTTTTTCAAATTACATTGTTTTCTTTTTTTTAATGTATCAGTTCAAAATATTGGTTTTCTGGGTCCTTAATTTTATTGCCAAAATTGTATTTTTAATATATTTGGTGGGCAAGGTCTATCTAATAGGATGACTTGGCCCCACCCCAACAATTAACAGGTGTTTTCTGAGAGCATTTACTGGTCCCTGCTACTGAGGATCTTACAGAAAGGCATGACCAAAACCATGAAACAGAGAAGCGGTGTTCAAGGTGCCATACACCTATGTGCTCAGTTATGTGGAACACACACTAAATTTCCTACTAATTCAGAAAAAGAAGAAATGGGATGTATCACAGCGTAATAGCAAATGTTTGATACACTAGGGTGTTTTTAAAAAGAAGGCTGAGTGACTACTTCTCACGCATGTTGTGGAAGATATCCAGGCATCGCTGTTACACAAAACTTCTCAGGTCTCTTTCTGGTTGATCCCCCATTCCAACAAACAGAGGCCCCGGGGTTGGAGTGTGAACATTTCTCACGACCAGAGTCTCTGATTGCGTAACCTTGAGGTGGATGTGCACATGGTGAAGTAAGGAAAACTCTGAGGAGAGGGAGACCCAGATTTGAACCTTGAAGGGTGGACAGGATTTGAATAAGTAACAATATACAGATCAGTTTGAGTTATTAAGACTGTCAACATAAAGCATTAGATGTCACTATGTAGAAACAGAACACTGAATCCTGATACCTTGCCAAAAGTAAGAATAAATATTAGCCTTGTCCTATACATGGAAAAGAAGCTAAGCATAAAGAAGCTGTGGCTGAAGGCAGAGCTTGGTTTAAGCAAAACTGGTTACAACAAGCTCCCTTGGCTTGGCCTCTGTCTCCTGCTTCATCTAGATATCTTCATCTTTTCTGTTTTGTTTTTCACTTCTGCCTCCTAAACCTGAGTTCAGAAAAGAAGGCACTACCTTCTGTCCTTTACTGTTTCATGTCATACCATCTCAAGAACTTGCATACATTTTTGGTTCAAGAGGGCATAGGAGATCACAGCCATATAATTCCTGAACCATAATTCAGAGGAAACAATAAAAAGAGTCTTCGAAGGCAGCCTCAGGCCAAGCATCTTTTGCTCTTGCTCTAGTTAGGGCTCTCTTCTTTGTATTTTATTTACCCCCCAGGTATGGACTGACAAGAGCTGAGTACATCCCATTGCACCTTCAGTACACAGATGTCGTAACACCAAGGCACACAATCACAGCTTCGAAAGACCCAGCACCATTCCCAGCACCCTGCTCCTCCTCCAGTGTCTACAATTTTATGTTCATTAGAAGATTTTAATCACTCCATTTTTAAAGAAAGTGAATTGACTATTTTTTTTAAATATAGAGTAGAAGAATTTAAGTGGCAATTAAAGTTCAGAAAGTTTTATGTTAAAAAAAATATTATCATCTCAGTGGAAATACTAGTTATGGTACAATATTCCTGACCTCCGAACTAGAAAGTTACCATCGAGGGCATCTAGTTGGGCCATGAAAGTAATCGTCAAGAATGAAAACATTCAGTCATCTGGTGAGCCATTTATGGCTGTGCTGCCCAGCTGGACACATTGATCGCCTATCAATCAATTTGCAAGTTTTTATTGAATATCTTCTTCATGTCAGACCAACTGGTCTGGGTCCAACTTCAGTATTTTTTTTTAGAGCCCAAGCATGCCTATATAAGGTATGATTTGTGGGTGAACAACCCAGCATTGAAGATGATGGGGAAAGAGAGCCTTGAAAACAGTTCAGTCATGGAGTTGGATTTGAAAAGAAAGGCCATTGGGTTTAATATTGAAGAACAAAGTTCACATTAAAATTTAGATCACCTGAGAAACATAAAAGTAATAAATCTACTTCTCGTAGAAATAAACTAACTACATGGTGTGGATACATAATGTCACACACTCAGCTATATATGTAAGTTGGTAATAGCCTCATATCCAAAGCAGAAGCCAGCCAAGGAGTCCTCTTCCTCCCTGGAAGACAGAAAGCATTAGTACCTTTGTACTTTGTCTGCAAACAAGCAGGCTATATTTTTGCTGAACAAAAGGTAACGAAAGGTTTACATCAAATAAATGCCCATCAAGAAGTGCTAACTGCTCATGTAAGACATCTGCAACATCTCAAGTTAAGACCTTGGCTGCTGAAATAATTTTCTGGCTTTTAGCAAGTGATCTGCTGTTTGATTTTAAAAATGAATAAACTAGTTAAGCTAAGGGATCAGAAGGGGCAGAAGTCCTACCATATTTCTCATAAATACAAACAAAAACGTGTTTCTGTGCCAGAATTTGGGTGGACGACTAGCAGGTTGAAACTTAACTGAAGAATGCTCAGTCCTAGTGTAGGCACGTGAAGCCCAGACTGGCAGCTGTACCTTGAAGGTGGGCAGAGCTCGCACTTCCCTGGACTCCTGCCAGACTGTGATTCACTGGCCCCCCAAGAAGCTATCTCATCCTACCTTACCTCTGTAACTCAGATCTAGGATAAGCCTACTTAATGCTTCTTTGCTTTCAGGCAGGCAGACCTAGTGATAACAGTACTTTTCCAGTTCTGGAAATAAAAGCAAAAGAAATAGGGGTATCTGATCTACAATTTGCTTGCTAGATAATAAAACTTGTGGGTATTAGATACAAAAGCAGTAGACTATCTATATCTTAGGGGTTTTTTCCTCTGACGGTAGCACAGAAGAGATATTGAGGGGTGCCTGGGTGGCTCAGTTGGTTAAGCGACCGCCTTCGGCTCAGGTCATGATCCCAGGGTCCTGGGATCGAGCCCCACATCGGGCTCCCTGCTCAGTGGGAAGCCTGCTTCTCCCTCTCCCACTACCCCTGCTTGTGTTCCCTCTCTCGCTGTCTCTCTCTCTCTCTCTCTCTCTCTCTCTGTGTCAATTAAATAAATAAATAAAATCTTTAAAAAAAAAGAAGAGATATTGAAATTACCTATCTAATATGTTGTTTTAGAAATTGAGACATCAGAATATAGGCCACGTTGCTGAAATTAATGGACAGGGTGTTTTTCACTTAGTTGAAGCATTCATTAGACTCTTACAGTATTATGCAGCCATACGACCCTCCAAAGGGAACAGTCTGCATTGTGGTGAACAAGATGGTCAAGAAGGGTTCAACAAATGAAGACTCACTCACCATGGCTGGGATTCAGTGATTTGGGGAAGTGCTTGGTTTAGCTGTTAAGAGGGAAATGAACTATACATCTGATTCCAACAACAAAACACTAATAACTAACTGTCATTAATTTTCTCACCTGTAGCTGGAATTGGGTACCGATATTTTTGAAAATATTGCCTGTTTGATGTATGACACCCTGGATTGGAAGAGGCAGCACCAACACTATCTGGAAAGCATGCACCTTATCAATATCCCACAAGTGGTTAATGAGAAACCTATCTTGGAAGCCCTGTCAATTACTGAGGTAGCACATTCTGGGATGTCTTTAGTGGGCTGAATGATCAACTGAACAAATTGATTTTCACATTTGTAAAACACACGAAGGAAAAATTACATAAATACTTGTAGGAAGGAAATTCTGCCTGCTGGGATTTAAGTCGTGAGGGTGGGAACAAGGAGAGGCCCCCAGGCACAACACTAAAGCTCCCTAACTACCTGCCACATGGAGAGTTGATGCTAGAAGCCACGTTCAGCACCTGGAACAAGAAGAGGGCTATTGATAAATTAATCATGGTATATATTTAGCACCTACCATGTGCTAGCCTTGCACAAGGTGCTGGCAATAATGAACAAGACTCCTCCCCTGTCCCCCTTGTTGAGGTTAACTTTTAAAGAGGATGGCAGTCATGTCAACGGTGGTTTCAACATAGCATAGTGAGAACAGTCAGCTCAAGCTGCAGGAGAAACACTGAAAATTTGGTACCTAACCTGACCTGGAGAGGAACAGCAGGGGAGAGGGAGGAGTCAGGAGAGCCTCACCCAGCCGGGTAAGTGATGTGGTGAAGGCTATGTGTGATTTGCCTACAGGAAAGCCTGGTGGAAGAAGGGACAGAAAGGCATTCTCAAGAAAGGGGCAAAGGTGGATGTACACAGACATGGGGTCAAAGGAAAGAACTATTAGGGCACAAGCCAGGACTACAGGATAAGTCTGTGCTCCCAGGTAGTAGTGCAAAATGGAGAACAACAACACAAACTCCCACTGGAAAATGGAAGCAGATGTCCTTTGGTGCTGAGTTAAAGAGTTTGGGTTGTTCCTGGAAGGTGATGGGGAACCATTGAAGGACTCAGAAAGGGAGAATGGTGTGATTCTGAGTCACCCAGGGACCAGTGCCCCATCTTCCCATCCCTTTCCTGGCAATTGCTCAATAGGCTCTTTTAGGGAAAACTGAAAAGTGTCCATACCTGTTAACTTCTTCCCTTCCTCAGACAAAACCCTTTCGTTTGCTCCTAATATTAGCCAATGATTCTGTGGTGTGAACATCATACAATCTCAGAATCCTGTCAGACCCCATCATACCCGCATTTGACGAAAGCATCTCATCTGGATATCTCAGTCGTCTCTTTTGAATTCTTCTACTTTTAGGCACCACAACCTGTTGCTCCAACCCCTGGCAAGAAGAAAGCACAGAATGAGGAACCACAAGCGCCCCCATCAGGCACGTATGAAACCCGAAGACCAACATGGTGAGCTAGTGCATTAAGGACTACTGGCTGTCCTCCATCTTGCTTTCAGACATCCCTCCACCTACATGTCCCGCTTTCATTAGTGCACGGTGACAGTTTGAATTTATGGATAAAATTTTGATGGAAGAAATGGAGAACACATCTTATTTGAGTAGTGATATATTGTATATTTTACAGTGGCTTTTGTCGGCACAACTGAAGTAGACATGAGATATTATAATGACTTGCTGAATCCGATTCCAGAAGAATTCATCTCTGTGCCCCTGATAGTGCATTGTATGCTGGAACAGGTAGGTGGGTACATGCCGAAGATTCTTTCCCAGCTGGGTAACCTTGAGTCCATCACTTCATCTCTCTTTGCTTTTGGTTTTGACTATTTTAAACTACACACATAATCCCTGAGTGTATTCTCCTTTACAAAGATTATGGAACACTTTAGATAAAACTAAATTTACTTTGACCATCTGCCTTAATCCCCTTTCTTTTGCTATGCTCTGGAACAATTGATCTCACATCCCCTGAAGTTTCGTGAGATGTATCCTTCAAACTGTGTCTGGTGTCATTTTAACGGACAAGAAAGAGGAGGTAGCCAGGTGGATGGGTGGTTAATGGTCTTTATCTTTAAAATTTCTTTTATACTTGTAAATTTAATCAGATCTTTCTCTTCCTGAGGCCAATTTTAGTCATTAGTATTTTTTAATAAATATGCCAATTTCATTTGTGTTTTCAATATCGTATAAAGTTCTTTATTCACTTATATGCATTTTAAAATTTGTTTGGCATTTGGTTGTTCTCCTTTTCTACGACTGATGTTATTTATTTGTCCCCTCTCTCTTCTTGATCATGGTTGTCAATGGTATATCTGTTGTATTGGTCTTTTCAAAGAACTAGCATTTTACTTCCTTGATCAACTCCTTTCTACTTTCTGTTTAATTAATTTCTTCATTTCTCTTTATTATTTCCTTCTTTCTGATTTCTTTGAGTTTATTTTGCATTTCATTTTAATCAAAAGCTTACTTCTTTTATTTTCAGGCTTTTTGCTTTACTAAAGGCTACACATTTCCCTTTGAGTATTTCTTGGGCTGCCATCTTGATGCTTTCAATCTCTTCAGTTCTAAATCTTTTATTTTCATTTCCATTGTTTATTGTCAATTCCTAGTTTTATTGTATTATGGTCAGTAAACATGGTCTGCATGTTAAAAAATGTTTTTAAATATCCTGAGCTTCCTGTGTGACCTGAGATACGTGGTCAATTCTCATGAGTTTTCTATATGTGTTTGAAAAATGTTATTATAAATAAACTCATTTAATTCTTAGAACAACCCTATGAAGCAGAAACTATTTTTGTTCCCCATTGTACAAATAAGGAAACTGAGGCATAAAAAGGTTAAGTAACTTGCCCAAGTGTAAGTCTCAGAAACTGCTTTAGAGCCTAGTCAATCTGAATGGAAAAGTGTTTTGATGGCATTGCTTTGTTGTCTTCTTTCTTCTAATGTTGCTGAAAAATTGCATGTCAATCTGATACTTTTTTCTTTGTAAATAATCTGTTTTTTTCTTTCTGGCAGCTATTAGAGTTTTCTCTTTATAATTCATAACACAAGGCTTTGTTCAGGTAGGGTTTTGTTTTATCATTGTCATTAACAATCTGAAGGACTATAATCTGGTTTCTGATTACATTCTAAATAAAATCAAAATTCCTTACATTGGAAGACCCTAAAACTATGGGTCTGGACTGATCTGTCATCTCATCTCCTGCCCCCCTCACCACACACACACACACACACACACACACACTCTTACTACTCATCATCTACATAGGCCTTCTGGGTTTTCCTCAACTACACTACTTAATTCCACTTTAGGTTTTTGCTCCCACTTCTTTTCCTAGAAAGTTCTGCACTCACATGTCTGCCTGGAGGATACTTCTTCTCATTCAGTGCCCAGTGGAAATTGTATTCCTTAGCCTTTCTCCCACCTGACCCAAAGGAAGCCCCTGACAACACAAAGTGATTTTTACCACATCACCTGGTTTTATTTTCTTACCAACAACCACTCTTCTTAAAATAACTTATTTGCTTTGTGTCTTACCTTCCCCCTTTCACTAGAATACAAGCTCCATGCAAGCAGGGAATTAATCTAATCTTGTTCACCGCTGTATGCCCAGTGAACCATAACCACACCTAACCCACAGCAGACACTGAATCTGTATTTGCTGAATTAAATATACCTTCGAATATTATTTTTTATTGATTTATCCTTTTATTGGATGGTGGAACTTCTGGGTTTTCCTCCTTGTCTTTTACATTTTCCATCAATTTTATCTTTTTGGGAATTCCAGCTTAACTTCCAATTAATTCATTCTTCAGTGGAGTCCAGTCTGCTCTTGAAGTTTTTTCTCAACAATAAATGTCTTTAATTTATAAATTCTCCAACTTCTTTTTACAACTGCCTGTCATTGTCCTTATTGCATGGATGTAACACATTCCTTTATGTCTCTGAATATTCAAATGTTTAAAGTCCTGTTCAGACTCTATCATCTTTTTTACCTCCAGTATACATTTTTATGTCTGCTTTAGTTTTCTAACCAATTAGAAAAGCACACTCACAGTTGCCTTTCATTACCCCATAAGGTTTCTGGGAGACCAGTAGTTTTATTATATTAATAAATTTATAAAAGCTGAAAAGCCCTATAGAGCTTGCAGTATCATCATTTTATTTATCTTAGTCTTTATTATTTTATTCAACTCAACTAAAAGCAACAAACATTTATTAAGCACCTGGTATATTACAGGCAGCAGCAGATGACCTCAGTGCCTGACCCAGAGAAGGCAACCAATAATAGTGTTGATTGAAAAAAAGCTTATAATAATAGGATGAAAAAAATTGAAATATAAGAGGAATGGGATAGGATTTTCCAAGACAAGATATTAGAGTTTAACATTTCAGAGGTAGAACAGTTTTGAGTGGTCTTCTGTGATTGGAGTGGGTCCAAGAGATGATCGGAGATAGAGAGTGGAGATATGAGTGGCTCTTTGGAAAGTAAGGAGTTGACAAAAGGTGAAGGATGGAAGGCTATTTTGTTATCCATCTATAGCAGTGGTTTTCAACAGCAGCTGATTTTTACTCCCAGGGGACATTTGGCAATGTCTGAAGATATTTTTGGTTGTCACAATTGGAGGGGTGATACTGGCATCAAACGGATCGAGGCCAAGGGTACTGCTAAACATTCTCCATCGCACAGAACCGAACCCACAACAAATAACTGTCTAATTCAGTTCTAAGGTTGAGAAACCCTGTAAAACTATGTGAAATTGCAGAGCATGATTGCAGGATATAAGGTGAAGAGAAAAGCTATAAATAAGGTGCCTACCTTGATTACATTTCAACTTCTTTTGTTTGCCAGGTAAAACTGAACAGGCCACATAATCTTTCTAGACCTCAGTTTCCCTCTATAAAGGAGACTATTACCCTTTACTGATCTCACCATCTATCACTCTTTTGAAGAAAGAATGAGGACTTGACCTGAACCCCCCAGTTCCTCCCATTCAGTAGCCTGCGGCTTGCACCAGTCACTAACTTCAGTCACCCTAGCTCTTCCTCTGTAAAATTAAGATAATATCTACTCCACAGTGTCTCTGTGACGCTTAAATGAGATAATGTAAGAGAAGATGCCCCATACAGTGCTTGGCATATGGTAGGCACTCAATTAAATACTTACTGAACCCAAAGGTGGGGGCGGTTTCGAATGCTTCAAGAGAAAGAGTAAATCATTAAGAAAAAAATTTATTATATTGTTATTTTGATTTTTGTCATAGTAAATTTTCCTGTTTACCATTTGTGTTTTGTGTTATCTATTCTCATGCATACGTTAAAATTATATCTACTTTAATGCATGCGTTGTAAACATTTTCTTTTTTACTTTGGTATACGCTGCCACTTTGTGTCATCACCGTATGTTATTGGTAGAGACCGCTTTGTTTTTACTAAGAGCAATGGAAATATGTGTCAGTAAAGAGCTGACCATCAAACTGACTCCTCCCACCTGTTTACTTTAACAGGTTGTGGCAACTGAAGAAGACCTCGTCCCGCCCAGCCTGGTGCAGCCGCCTCCTAGAGCAGATGGGCTGGACCACAGAATTGCAGCTCACATTGTGTCCATCCTGCCCTCTCTCTGTCTCACAGAGAAGGAGAAAAAGGTCAGATGGCATGAGATATCCAAAGAGCTTGCATGCTTTGAAAAAGTATGGATTCTCTTTTTAAGTCACTATATTTCAATTTGAATAGAATCTCCATGAAATATTCTTATCTGAAGAAGAAAATGAAAGCAAAGCAGTGCCCAAAGGCCCTCTCCTATTGGACTATCATGATGCACATGCTTACAAGAAGTATGCTCTAAAGGTAATAATAATTGGGTTTCCCTGAGGAGAAGTGATGCAAGAAAGCCTTGTTTGTAATCATTCGTTGAAGAAATTGGGGTTAGATAGTTTCACTGATGGAATTAAAAGTAATATTCAAAATGGATACCTGCTTGCAAAGTGAGACCTCAGGAAATAGAGGTGCATATGGGAGCAAAGAAAACTTGTCTAATTATAGAGGCCCAGTTAACCATTTAATTGATTGTGAGTACACCAAATTTGCATTAAAACCTTATAGTTATTTGCTTTAGCTATCTTAACAATGTGAACAACTAGTGGAAGCCAGAGAAGGATCTCAGAAGGGAGAGATGACTATATATGAGACTTTGGCAGTTTGTCACAGCAAGTGAAGGATCCATCATTTCTGTGCACCAGGAACCTCTGGCAAAGTGAGAACGAGCTTTTTTGACCTTCAGCAAAATACCAACAGTTTGTCTTCCCCAATTACGATTGATTTCCCCTGTTTCCAAATAATGAGAGCGAAGGTATCAGGTTTTGCCTTCTCCATATGCATAAGGCACTTGACAGCTTACTCTAATGTCTTCTGTCATGTTGCTCTTTTTCATCAGGACCAAAAGAATTTTGACCCAGTTCAAATTGAGCAGGAGATGCAGTCCAAGTTGCCACTGTGGGAATTCCTTAAATTCCCTCTGCCCCCGCCATGGAACAGCACTAAACGTCTAGCTACAATTCATGAGCTCATGCACTTCTGTACAAATGGTGAGTAGATTTTTTTGCCTTAGTTTAAATTCATTCATTTATGGTCATATGTGCTTCTTAAGATTACACTCCTATTTGCAAAAAGTATTTTAATTATTGAAAGAGCTTTCAGAGACTGAGGTGGGTATTTTGATTCTCTAACCTTGAATAATGTCATTAGCAATAGTATGACAGCTATGATGCATAACATTCTTCAATTTGATGCCCTGGGTCTTCTTTCCACTGCGTTTCCATGACAAGAATAATCTGCTTCTTCCTTCTTTTTCCCTGCAACCCACCCCCACATCCCTTCCTTGACATCATTGCAGAAAGCATGGTGATCCCTATCCTAGGTAAAAGCACAGAGTAGAGAGCCCCCCTGGCGGTGTGGTGCCTAGAGTGTGTTGATTCAAGTTCACCTCCTCTCATAGAAGGAAGGGTCATTTTATAATCTTTGAGGACAGCGGAAAGAGAGGTAATTTTGAGAATCTAAAATCAGCTTCTCATTGCAGAGTTCACTGAGATTTTAGATACAGTCATCTCCTTCAAAAACTGTATTTCCAGGGCTGCCTGGGTGGCTCAGTCAGTTAAGTGTCTGACTTCGGCTCAGGTCATGATCTCAAGGTCCTGGGATGGAGCCCCACATCTAGCTCCCTGTTCAGCTGGGGGTCTGCTTGTCCCTCTGCCTCTACCCCTCAGCCTGCTCATGCTCTCTCTTTCTCTGTTTCTCAAATAAATAAATAAAATCTTTAAAAAATAAAAACCAACTTTATTTCCACTTGAAGCGATCAGCAATACATTCCCACTTACAAGAAGGAACATGAAATTATAGACATCTTTATTTGACAAGAAAGCATTTACCCTAGAAAAGAGAAAAGTGCCTCGTTTCATTTCTCACTCTAAGCAAATCATGAAATATTTTATTCTTGATTTGTTCTTTGATTTTTAAGTAGACGTAATGGTAAGGAAACAACAAAATCTTTGGACTACTGTCATGTCATCACCTCATGGAAAAGCAGGGGAGAGCCTACCCACCTGGGTATGTGGAGAACTTTGTTTACATAACCGCCCTGTTACTGATGTTCCTGAGAATGTGTGTCCTTTGCCTATATCCTGCCACACTCCACCTCTCCTTCTGCCTGTGGTATGACTCCATGCTCTCTCCACCCTGTCTTACACACAGCACAGGATTCTTGTTTCTGTTGCTGCCATTGCCACGTCACACATATCCTGCTTACGTGTCCCCTCCAAAACCCTTGCTCCTCTTCTTCTCTCCTCTTCTCTCTATCAGCACTTCATACTTAACAGATCCAAAACCAAACTCTTGACTCCCTGAAATTTGTCCCTTCATCGTCCTCCTTATTTCAGTAAATGGCAACTGTTTTCTTCCCAAACCTAGAGTCATCCCTGATTCCTCTTTGTTTCTTATGCCCCACAACCAATACCACCACATCCCTCGCTGCCATGGCAGCCCAGGCCACTGTCACCTCTCACTTGGAGTATTTCAATAGCTTTCCAATTGGTCAACAGGCTTTCACTTTTTCACCTAGCCTTTTTTTCATGCAATAACCAGAACCATCCTTCCAAAATGTTAGTCACACCATGTACCCTCTTAACTCAGAATTCTCTAGTGGCCACCCATGTCACTCAAAGAATAATCTACACTGTTCTGCCACCCACTTTTGGAGCTCATCACCTGTCAAGGTCTCATCATTCCACTCCACTCATTCTACATTGGCCTTGCTGTGATTCCTTGAACCTGTTGGTCAACCCCTTGCCTCAGGATCTTTGCACTTGCTATTTCTCCTGCCTCCATCCCTTTTCTTCCAGATATTCACAGGACTTACTCTCCCGCTTCCTTCATATTTTTGCTTAATTGCTTAGAGGGTTTTTCTCTGACTACCTTATATAAAAAAAGAAGCCCCTCCCTAACCGCTATCACTTTTTACCCCCTCTCCTGGCTTTATCCTTCTTATCATCTCTGATATGGCATACACTTATCTGTTTGCCCTGTTTCCAGCCACCAGAATTGATACTCTAGAAGATCCGGAGTTCACTACTAACTTTACTGCTGTGGTCCCAGCTTTTACTATAATCCTTGACAACTAATATGTGCTCAAAAGATGTTTGCAAAATGAATGAATGAGCAAACTTTCCTTAATTCTGTAACTTTTCCCTTTTCCCTGTCTCTCTTCTGAATTGCCTCATGTTTTTCCCAAAAGAGCCCTCCCTGTGTCCTCATTTCTATTGGAAAAAAAGTGGAGGTTACCACGGAATCATTGATCTGCCACAATCATTTTACTTTTCCTCATGGAATCCCATGATTATTTGCTAATACCTACCTCCCACCCCTCTGCCCTGAACTTCTAAAGTGCAAGAACCAAATCTTTTCTTTGAATTTCAGGGACCTATGACAAAGCCTAATACATAGAAAAGAAAGACGAGTGAGCAAGCAAGGGAGGGAGGGAGTGGGCAAATGGATAAATAAATGCTGTGAGAAAATAAATGCACAAATGAATAGGGTCAATTGAAAGCTGATAATCTTTGAAGAGCAATTATGGAAAGTGCTACACCAGTTGAAGTGGGTGAAAAGAGGCCTTTTCTGAGCCCTAAGGAACAATAAAACCTACTGAATATAAAGTATATGTTAGACACAAGTGAGCAACTTTTTTTTTTACTTCAAATGAGAACAGTAGCAAAGGTGCTTTTGCTTAAAAATGATAAGTTTTAAACATATTTAACCAATATGGTACCCTGGAGAGTCCATGTGAATTAGTACTAATACACCTAATACTGATTAAGCTATGAAGCAATTTGTGAGCATTGTCTTGATAGATTATATCTTGACTGTGCAGCTTTCTTATTATTAGGTACTCTCCATATTTGTTGCAAAATTGTGGAGCCCATGTTTAAAGTCAGGTCAACACCCAGCGTGACGTGACTCCCTTGTCATCGTGGTGGACAGACCCCCTGGCTGCCCCTCTGTCAGCCCTGTACCATGTGGTAATAAGAGCATTCCTAGCAGCATAGTTCCTGCTTTCTTACAGAAGTCTTGAGCTGGAATGAAGTAGAACGAGCCTTTAAAGTGTTTACTTTTGAGAGCCTGAAACTCTCTGAGGTTAATGAAGAAGGAAAGCTAATGCCTTCTGAGATGATGTATGGGACAGATTCTGAGATGTTCAACATACCATGGGACAACCCTGCCAGATTTGCTAAACAGATAAGGCAGCAATACATCATGAAAATGAATGTCCAAGAGGCCAAACCCCAAACAGGTACACTGCATGGAGGGAATCAAAGGAATTCTTACATTTTATGATTGTCAATTTTTCTAGCATTATATCTAATGGATTCTCTTCAAACTGACTAGATACTGAAACCAAAGACAGAATTCTATTTGTGGATCAGAATTGGTCAACATCTGTGCAAGAGGATGAGATCTCTAAAGAACCTTCAGATGCTCGTCAGTCTGATTCTAATAATATGAAGCATTCTGACCCGAACAGTAAGGAACCCTTAGACCCTGATAATATACAGCTGTCAGAGCACGAGACTAGTTTGAAGACTCAGATCCAGTCTGGGCCTTCAGGTGAGCAAACGTGTGTCTGTGTGTGTGTGCGTGTGTGTGTGTGTACACTATTATAGGATGTATTAGCCCCCAAAATGATTCAAGAAACATTATCTAAATTTAAATGCCTCCCTATTTCAACTGAAGACTGTTTAATAGCTAAGTTAAAATTAAACTTTGCTACTGAGTGTTATTATTCAGTCCTTGTTATTTCAACCCTTGTTTTTAAAAATATCCGAAGGCCTGTTAGTCCACTTTTACCTTAGTAAATACAGTAAGGTGAACATAATTAAAACTTTCATTAGTATTTCATAGGGTTATTGTAATTATATGAAAAAAATATTAAAAATTACCTGCAATAAATAGTGAACTGCCCACTACAGAGCTTGGTACAAAATCAATGCTCAATGAAGAACAAGGATTCCCTTTCTCTCTTCTTTATAGTTCAGGTAATGACTCTTACTGTAGAATATACCATCATAAATATTGTTATATTAGGAGCTATAGAAGCATAGGAGACTGTTAGGTTAAATTTATTGAGCTATCTTATGCACAGCTATCAGATTAATTACCCCAAATCCAGCTGTTCGTTTCCTGCTTACAACCCTCAATGGCTCCCTACTAACAGAACCCAACACTTTGGCCTGCTATACGTGCTTCTGCAGTCGTACCAAATTACTTTTCCAAAACCTTTCTGCTTTTTCCCTTTTGCTCACTCATGCCATGCTCTAGGCAAATAGAATTAAGCTCTATTTCCTCTACACAGCCTGCTGTTTTCAATCTCTGTGTCTTTCCTCCACAATACCCTCCACCCGGAGTTCTCTTTTTGATTATGATTAAGATTTCAGTGGCACTTCCATAAAGCTTTGTTAGATGTGTCCCTCTCGAAATGGCTCCCTTAGCATTCCCATGGTCATAATTAATCTGTGCTTCCTTTATGGCATTAGTTATCATTTCCTACTACTTATTATAATTATTCATATGGCTATATTAAGTTTCCATAGTACTATAGCTTTTTAGAGGTCACAGGTATGCTTATCTTAAAAATATTAATGGTATACTGGACCATAAAACACATCTCAGCAAATTTTCACAGGATTAAAACTACAGAGTATACTCTCAAAACCCAGTGAACTTATGGTGGCCATTAGTTATGAAAAATAATGAGAAGACACCCAAATTTTCAAAGAGAAAAAGTCACAATAGAAATTAGGAAAGATTTCAAGTTGAATGGTAATGAAAATACTGAATATCAAAATTTCTATAATGCAACTAAAGCAAGGGATACTCAGAGAGAAGCTCACAGCTTTAAATGAATACATTTTTAAAAGAAAGAAAAATTAATTAGCTAAACATCAACCTCAAGTTCTTAGATAAAGATGAACAAAATAAATCCAAATAAAGTGAAAGGAAGAAAAAAATAAGTAAATTATTGACATAGAAAATATAGATGTGTGGGCACCTGGGTGGCTCAGTTGGTTAAGCATCTGCCTTCGACTCAGGTCATGATCCCAGGGTCCTGGGATCGAGTCGCACATCGGGCTTCCTGCTCAGTGGGGAGCCTGCTTCTCTGCCCCTCCCTGGCTTGTTCTCTCTCTTTCTCTCTCTCTCTCGCACATGTGCTCTCTCAAATAAGTAAATAAAATCTAAAAAAAAAAAGAAAATATAGATGTAATAAGGAAGAACAAATACTACAAAAGTCTGGTTCTTTGAAAATACTTTTAAAATTTGATAATTTTTTTAAATAAAAGGCAGACCACAAAAAAAGGAAGCATGAATAACCTTATTAGTAATAAAGCCATAGCAGGAATAAAAATCATCAGGAATAAAGAAATAGACTTTCCTCTGATTCTACAGAAATGTAAAAAATAGTAGGAGGATATGAACAACTTTATTCCACTAAATCTTAAAATAAAATGAGCAAATCACTAGAAAAGTATATCTTACCAACAATGACTCAAGAAGAAATAGAAACATGAATAGTGTTGTAATCATTTAAATAAATTAAATCAATAATTAAAGATCCTCCTGAATAAGACATACCAAACCCAAATGATCTTATTTACAAGTGATACCAAAACTCAAAAAAAAGAAATAATTCTAATCTTATTATTTATCTATTTGAGAGAAAAAGTGACAGAGCACAAGCAGGGGGAACAGTTGAGGGAGAGGGAGAAGCAGGTTCCCCACCAAGCAGGGAGCCCAATGCGGGGCTCGATCCCAGGACCCTGGGATCATGACCTGAGCCGAAGGCAGACGCTTAACCATCTGAGCCACCCAGGTGCCCCGAAATAATTCTAATCTTAAAAATTATTCCCAGAAATAAAAAATGGATATCCTCCCCTACTCATTTTACAAAGCTAGCATAAACCTTATAATAACACAGTCAAGCATAGTACAACAAAAGAAAATCATAAATCAAACTCATTCATTAACATAGATGCAAAAATCCTGAATAAAATATAAGTAAACTGATCTAGCAATATACAAAATGATAATAATACAGAACAAACAAGTTGTTTTTATAACAGAAATAGAGGAAAAACATACATTATAAAAATTAATATAATTTATCAATTAACACTGAGAAAAATGATATAATCATCTCAATAGATGCAGAAAAAGTGCTTAAAACTCTATAGCAATTTATGAAAGAAATCTTAGCAAACTAGCAAGAGAAGGAAAATTCTCTACCTTATAAGGTTTATTCTTAAATTACTACAACAAACATTATATATCAAGATGAAAAGTTGAAAGATTTCCCTCGGCTCCAGGAAGCTATCTACTATAAACACTTGTATTCAATATTACATTGGAGATGCTAGCCAACTCAGTAAGGCAAGAAAAAGAGATAAAAGTGTAAGGTTTGAAAAGGAAGAAATAAAACTATTACTATTTGTAAATATTGTAAATGTAGAAATCCCAAAATAATCCACACAAAGACATCAGGATTAATATGATAGCTTAACAAGGAAGTCATGGTTATGAAAGGACACACATAAGATGTCTGCAGTGCTGGGTCTTTTCTTTCCCATTATCCATTAAACTACACATTTATAGTCTATGTACTTCTCTGCATGTGTTATAATTTATAATTTTTAAAAGCATTAAACAAGAGTAAGTGGTCTGTGGCACAAGAGAACAGTTATTAAGTCAGTATTGACTGAATGGTCATCTTGCCATTTTCATTAATTTAGATGATGATAAAAGAGAAAGTCATCGATGGAGTAGAATTAGGGAAAATCTGCTTGCTTAGTAGAGCAGATAAGTGAGGGTGAGGGGGACAGAGAGAAGGAGATAACATTTTTTTTAGCATTGTCCTGCTATATTCCAAGCACTCTGCTAAGACATTTTATATGTATTAACTAGTATTTGATATAAACCTCAAGTCTGTGAGTAAGATGCTATTATCCTAATTCTAAAGATGAGGAGTTGAAGACTCAGAAGGGTTAAGCGACTTGTTCAACTACATACGAGTAGGAAGTCAGGATTCCAAAAGAGAGCTAACTCCAAACCAATGCTTCCTCCACTGTGTCTTGTGGCTTCCTCAGTCCCAGAAACTCCTTGTCTAGTGGTTTAGTCATACTCATCGTCTCTTCTTCATGCTGATACTTAACCTGATTTTGTTACCAAAAGGGTTGATTCCCTATTTCTCTAAGTCCCTTACCTATTAGCCAAGCTCACAAAAATAATTAAGCCAAATAAGTCAACCTGGGATGTTATGCTATTATGCATCCTGTGGGAATGTAAATATATGACAAAGAAGTCACTTTGTGTTCATGTGGATCCAGAATAAGCCAGGAGAGATATAAGGCCTGAGATTTTTTTCTTTGTATTTTGTTTTTTTCTTTAGAGCAACTGGTGTATAGTTTTCCTCAGGCAACTTTTGCCACCTGGTGGTCAAACCATGTAAATTGGCATTCCAGATCCTGGTGGAAAATAGATGGTTAGAGCAACTCTAAATTGTCAGGGCTAAAAATGCTATAATGGATAGTATATCCTAGAGGCTGAGCAATCTTAAGAACTAAGCCCCCACAACCAATAAGGGATCCTATATGATGTATGTTGATCCACATCAAGGAACTCTTACAGTTGGACAGGGGAGGGTGGCTGAGCCTTGGTATTTCACTGTGGCTGTTAACGTCTAAGGAAATTTGTTGTTGTTGATCTTGCATTTTCCCCCTAACTCTGAATCATATTTCTAAAGCAGCCACTTGAAATCATTTTAAGCAAAGCAGAAATTGTCCATGTATTTCCTGCACAACCATCTTAGCATCAAATACATATAAAAACCTGTTCCTGGATGTGAAGGACTAAATATTTGTGCTTTTCTTACCAAACACTGGATTTCCATCTGAGACTGTTTTTGAACTTGACAGGGCCTATTGGATATTTATGAAAAACCTGAGAGTTGATAACCGTGAGGCTATAGGTTTAGATGTGCCCTTTATGCTTGTTGGGTGTTTTTTTAATAAAGTAACTGCTTTGCAGAGGGATCTTGTTATCTCTAAAGTAAAACAGATTAGGAAAGCTGTTTTTCAAAGGGATGAGAAAGCATCCATTTCCAGATGTGTCAAAAACTACTGAATCACACTGTCAAAGGATTATGCGGTTGAAGGCAGAATCAGAAAGAAAGAAAAAATGATTTTTACTGTACTCTTAAATGAAGAGTTCAGATTAGTTTTAGAGTGCTCTTTCCTTTGACAAAATAACTGATGCACAATTTTTTAGAACATATTTTCTAAACTGGAGACTTTTTCTGCTAGATCCTTAAACACAGGAGGGAATATCAAATCTCCCGGAAATCTGGCAGACTACAGAATAGAATAATTTTTATTCCACAGATTTCATATCAGTTGCTTCAAGGACACATGGGACATCATGGTCTATTTAGAGTTATAGTTGGCCTGAGTTTTCTCTTGAGTAGATATATTTATATAAATACTGAACTGAATTGATTTTATAGTTTTCCTGTAAATCAAAATGGAACATTCTTGCTGTCACCTTCACCAGCCCAAGGCAAGATGAAACCAGTAGCGAAAATATAACTAGCTATGCTCCTAAAAGAAAGAGAAACATTGGCCTATCCTTGGTAGACGCAATTAACTACACCCTCTAGAAGTGCAGCTATGGTTCTCTTTGCCAAAAATGAAGTTGAATCTAATGCTTACCCTAAAACAAGCTTTTGTTTTGCGTTTCTTCCACAGTTCTGCTCTCTCTATAGCTTTACATACATTTCCAGTTTTATTATGTGATGTAGATTTTCCTCATTCAAGCAAAACAAAATGTACTGAATCTCTCCCACGTGCTGGGTGCTCAGGGTACAGTTATAGAAAACAGGATCAAGTTCTTATTCTCTAGGAATTCACATTGAGATGGAGAGGTAGACAAACAAATAAATATTAGGCACTAGTAAATGCTATGATTCAAAATAAAACAGGGTAAAAGGCAGAAAGGCTCTTGAGGAGGTAACATTTGAGCAACGATGTGGATGAAGTGTTTGAACCAGGTGATTATCTAAAAGCAAAGCATGTAAGAAAGAAAAACAAGTGCAAAAACTTTAAGACACAGCAAGCAACCTGGTGAGTCCGGAGAGGAATGAGCAAAGGAGAGTGAAAGGGATGTGTTTGGAGAGTGAAGGTGGAACCATTTTATATATGACTATGTAGGGATCAATTTGCTGTTGTTCTAAGGGTGATAAAAGGCCAAGTTGGCTCAGCTATTCAGTAACATCACAAATATGTTACCACAAGATTCATCACCCACTCCATTTCTGTGGTCAAACTTGGAATATGCTATATAGTTTAACCATTTCTATATGAGAGATTCAGAATCACAAGAGCTATAGTTTAATCAGTGAGTATTTGCAACTCATAAAGGTACATTTTTAGAAGTGAGGGAGATAGGGCAGAATATCTGATATGATTTAGGAATGCATCATATAGGAAGCTGAGTTCTTTTCAAAGGGTTCAGTATAACTTTTCTAGGTAGACACTGATTTAGAATTATTGACACAAACACCTTTTTGGAGGCATGAAACATGCCTTTCAGGAATTACCTTTTCAGCACAGAAACATAGATCATATGGGCAGCAAAAAGGCACAGCACTGACAAAGGCAAGAACAAAGCCCAAACACAACTGGATGTTGGTGTCTTTGATTTACAGAACAGACCACGAACAATGAGATCAAAGATGAAGGAGTCACAAAGGCTGAGCCTCTTGAAAAGGTAAGGAATTGTTTTGCTAAAAGTGTAAATACAAGTAAGATGATCTGAAAAAACTGTGACCCAGAGTGAGAAACACACACACACACACACAAAGGAGATGTTCAGCAGGAGAAGGAAGGGGATTGCTCAGACATACCCAGACTAGCTCCAACTGGAGAAAAAGGAGTTAATTTCACTAGCGGCTTAAGCAAAACTTCCAAGCTCCATGCCCCTCTCTAGACAGTGTGGCTTGGCAACCTCACAAACACCTGCTGACCATACAGCCATGTAGAACTAATGCTGTCTTGAAGTGAGTTCAGAAAACCTGCCTATAATTGCTAACAGGACTCAGAAGAGTATAACCTAACAATAAAAATATTTAGATTATGTTGCTCATAAAAAAAAAAAAAAACTCAAAGGCATACTCTTTCTGGCAGCAGTTCTCCTAAAATGTTGCCATATGGATTTATACATATGCAGATTTCCCCAATTAGATGGACTGCGTGCTGGTTAGTTGATGGAGTCCAAGAGGGCTCCATTTGGACTTGCACAAATTAAAGCTGAAATTGCACTCCTGTGATTTTTTTAGAAACCCAAGAAGATGACTGTGGAAGCCAAGTTAGAGGACATAAAGAAAACGCAACAACGCAGTCTAATGGACTGGAGTTTCACTGAACATTTTAAACCGAAAGTTCTGCTTCAGGTATTAATGAACCGTGAGTCTCTAGGAGACGGTTGGACAGGTTTGGGGAGTCATGGGGTGATTTAGAACAGTTCACTTCTAGGTCACTCTCTCAGATCTCGTTCTGATCAATATTCCCATTTACTTCAGCTATAAAAGGAATTTATTCCCAAGCTGACAGCAACCTTATTTTTCCCATATTGCCTATCCTTTCTATTAAGTTTTCACTGCATTTAGAAGTATTTTTTTTTCTAAGATTGATTTATTTATTTGAAAGAGAACAGGGGGAGGGGCAGAGGAAGAGGGAGAGAGAGAATCTCAAGCAGACTCCCCACTGAGCATGGAGCCTGAGGACCCTGAGATCATGACCTGAGCCAAAACTGAGAGTTGGATGCCCAACTGTCTGAGGCACCCAGGCACCAAAGTATTGACCTGATACAGTTAACAAGTCAATGGAACCTGCAATAGTTAGCATTTATTGAGCACTTAACTATATGCTAGCAATGGCTTGTAAGTGTTATCTGCTCATTTAATCCTTGCAACAATCCTATAAAATAGAAACTATGTAAATCATAGGAAACTGAGACAACTTGACCAGCAGTAACTTTTGCCCAAGGTCACTGGCTGGTGAGTGAGAGAAGCAGGATATGAACCCAAGAAATCTGGCCCCAGAACTTGTGCTCTTAACCACTATGAAAAAAAACAAGGAATCGTACATTTTCTGTTTACATGTTTTATGCAAAAACCCATACTAATTTTTGTTTTATCTTTTTTAGTTTTAATCTTACCAGTATCAAAGTTTTACATCCACATATTGTTAAAGCCAAAAAGTTCTATATAGAGTCTTACAAAAAATAGCAGCTCTCTCCCACCCCTATGCTTAAATTCCAGAGGTAAAAACCTTCAAGGTATTTATTTACCTAATTACTTATTTACCTATTTACCTATTTCTGGTGTTACTTAACTCAGTAAGTTTAGTTTTAGTTTTGGTTGGGCATCATCATCAATTGATTCCCTCTTGAGAAAACAGCTCTGCCAACCCCCATGCAACACACACACACACACACACACGCAAACAAGTACACACTCACTCATACACTCCTACACACACATGAGCACTTCTTGCCATCTGCTAACACTGTTAACCATATCATCATTTTTGGTTAGACCAATATTCAATATATATTTCATTTGAATAAATGTTATTTATTCATAGCTGAACCATGTAAATACCCTATGATTACATTTCCCTTTTTGATACTAATTTTTGTTTTCCCCAGAGTTTGTTTTCCCATTTTCTTCATTTGTGTAGTTTACTACGCATTTGTCATTACTCACCCCCACGCTCTCTACCAAAGAGTAAAATCTCCTCTCAATACATTCAAACCTAACGGGCATTCTATCAGTTTTACTATCTAAGCCACCTCTCTCCCATATGTTCTGAACTCCCACTAGCCCTCCAGGCCTGCTTCGCGGCTGTGGACCTGGCAGTTTTCTTTATTGTCATCCTGGCCACAGCTTTGGCCTCTCTTTCCAGCCAGATACTCAGGCTTCTGAACCCCATGTCATCTTCTTTCTCGGGTTACTCTCCTTTTGTAGGGGACTATCTCTTCTAGTTGCTTCCTGAATTAAAATAGATGGCAGGACTCTGGAAAACAGTATGGAGTTTCCTCAAAAAGTTGAAAATAGAGCTACCGTATGACTCAGGAATTGCACTACTGGATATTTACCCCAAAGATACAAATGTAGGGATCCAAAGGGGTATGTGCACCCCAGTGTTTATAGCAGCAATGTCCACAATAGCCAAACTATGGAAAGAGCCAAGATGTCCATTGACAGATGAATAGATAAAGAAGATGTGGTATATATATACAATGAAATATTATGCAGCCATCAAAAGGAATGAAATCTTGCCATTTGCAATGACATGGATGGAACTGGAGGGTATTATGCTGAGCAAAATAAGTCAATCAGAGAAAGACATGTATCATATGACCTCACTGATATGAGGAATTCTTAATCTCAGGAAACAAACAGGGTTGCTGGAGTGGGGGGGGTGGGAGGGATGGGGTGGCTAGGTGATAGACATTGGGGCGGGTATGTGCTATGGTGAGCGCTGTGAATTGTGTAAGACTGATGAATCATAGATCTGTACCTCTGAAACAAATAATACATTATATGTTTAAAAAAAAAAAGAAGATAGTAGGAAGGGAAAAATGAAGGGGGGGAAATCGGAGGGGGAGACGAACCATGAGAGACTATGGACTTGAGAAACAAACTGAGGATTCTAGAGGGGAGGGGGGTGGGGGGATGGGTTAGCCTGGTGATGGGTATTAAAGAGGGCACGTTCTGCATGGAGCACTGGGTGTTATACGCAAACAATGAATCATGGAACACTACATCAAAAACTAATGATGTAATGTATGGTGATTAACATAACATAATAAAATAAAAAAATAAAAAATAAATAAAAAATAAAATAGATGGCAGGTAAATTTGGGGAGCATTGGATGTTTGAGAACATCTTAGTTCTACCCTTACATCTGAGTGACATTTATATAAAATGCTAAGTTAGAAGACATTTTCCCTGAAAATTTGAAGCCATTCCTCAGTAGTGTTCTAGCTTCTTGGATTGTCCTTGAGAAAATAAAAATGAAATTCTGATTCCTGATCAGTTGTTCGAGTCTGTTTATTTTCTGCTCTCTGGAAGATTTTAAGATCTTCTGTTTGTTCCAGTGTTCTTGGTTTCCTGTTGCTGGTTCTCTTTCCAAGTATCATACTGGTAAGCCTGGTACAATCCAGAAACTCCTGTCTTTATATTCTGGGAAATGTTCTAGTCATTTCTCTGATCATCATCTCCTTTCCATTTTTTCTCTTCCTTCTTTCTGGAACTCCTGTTATTCTAGTGCTGGACTTCCTGGACTGAACTTCCAATTTGCTTACTTTTCCTCTCCTAATTTCCAATACCTGCCTTCTTGTTCCGGAGATACGGCTCAGCTTTCACCCAGTTCTTCTACTGAGCCTTCTTTTTCTGTTATCATCATGGTTAATTTCCTAAAGTTCTATTTATAATTGCAAATTACCTTTTTATAGCATCTTGTTCACATTCCCTGATACCATATCTTCTCATCTCTGTGAGAATGTTAAAGTCCTTTGAAGTCTTAGTGTTTTCTCCCTGCATTGTCTCTTTTTCCTCAAGTTCATTTTGTTTTTTTCTCAAGTTTTTTGGGTTTTTTTTTTTGCGGGGGTCTTCATTTTTCATATTAGAGTGTAATACCTAATGACATTTGCCCTTTTGTTCATGTTAATAATGAGACACTAAAAATATCATAGGAAGTGCTGCATGAGCTCAGGGCCATTTATTTGTCAATAAATGGATTTCATTTTGGGATATTTGGCTGGGTGGTTTCCTTGGGAGACCCATCAGTGTTGGTGTATTAGTCTGTACTCTTAAGCCATTTAGATTCTCCAGGGGAAAAAATCCTAAAATCCTAACCGAAAGACATTATTTATCTGTCAGGGATTTGGGAGCTGTTGGGGGGCAGGGAAGGCAGTTAGGCTCCTTGCCATTCAACCTCTAGATCTACATAGTTCAATGTGGTAACCACTAGTCACATGTAGCTTCCAAATACTTGAAATGTAGTTGGTCCAAATTGAGATGCTCTGTAAGTTTGCTATACTGTATATATATATATAAAACTTATATAATATAATATATATAACTAATTATCATATATATTACAATGTATATCCTATATACTTGGTATGAGTATATATACCAAATTTCAAAGATTTAATATGAAAAAAGGTGATATATATCATTAACAATTTTTATATTGATTACATAGTGAAATGATAATATTTTTGACAGATTGGGTTAAACAAAATATATTTTTAAAATTAACTTTACCTGTTTCTTTTTACTTTTGAAGTGTGACTACTATAAAATTTAGAATTACACACATAGGTCACCTTATATTTCTTAGACATCAATTTATACTTTTATGAAATTCCTTTTTTTTCTGTAGTACATCTCTCCCTTGGCAGTGCCTAGGGTCCCCTTCTTTGAATCCACTGCATCATTCTGTAGGTAATAATCCTCCCTTTGTCTGCAAACGGGGGAGATGGGCAGCCACCCCATTGCTCAGAATCGTCAAGGGCTTCTGGGGGTCATAATAGCTTCTTAAAAATATTTTAATCTTCCTATTTTCAGTGCCACTTTCTCCCCACTCTCAGAGGTACCTAATACTGCCATTTCTTGAGCCTTTCTGCACTTCTGCACACAAGTAAGTTTACTTCTAACCTCTGGGAAATTAACCTTAGAATTTGGTTTTCTATGTCTGCTGTCAGTTATCCCTTATCCTTCTGCTTTCCAGCTTCTAAAGTGTTGTCTTTGTCTCCTTTCCTGTGACCCTCAATTTCATGATATTAAAACCCAAAAATTTTACTGTTCTTTTAGTGAGGTGTCAAGAAGCACATGTGTTTAATCTTTCATCTTTAACTGGACATTTATTTCAGACTTTATTTTTTTTTCAGCTTGGCTCTGTCCTCACCATTCCATGAAGCTTCATGATCACTGTCCTGCCAGATCTAATGGACATTTATCTTTCTTCATCTTCCTTGACCTTTTAACAAGATCACAGAGCTGGTCACTTCACTGTGAAATACTTCTCACTCTCGGTTTCCAAGATGCCATACTATACTTCTCCTCAGTGCTCTGTTTGAAATTTTGTGGACCTAATGTCTAAATATCGAAATGCCTGGAGTCTCAGCCCTGAACCATCTTCTCTCTACTGTAAACATTCTTGTGATGATTTCATCTATATATATGACTTAATGCTAATGACTCCTAAAATTTTATCTTCCAAATGATTTCTCTCTGAGTTCCACACTAGAATACCTAACTCCAAATTCCACTTGAATTTCTGACAGGCATCTCAGCCTCAATGTCTCAGATGAAGCTCATAATTTTCCCACCTAAGCATGTTTCTCTCCTCACCCATCTCAGAAAGTATCACCTTCAAGCCAAAAGGCTAAGAGTCATCCTTTATCTCAGCTTTTCCTGTGTCCTGCATGTCTGATCCATCATCACACTTGGATGCCATCAAAGCTCCTCACCATCTCCACTGTTGATACGTCAGTCCAGCTACCATCCTGTTGTTCTGCCGTAGGATCCTCCTAATCATCAACCCCCACTTCTGCTCTTGCCCAATCCATTCTATGTATCAGATAGATACTCCATCAATTTCATCTTCTTAGGATATGTCTTTGAATCCAGGATGATCTATAAAAATCTTAATCAGATCTTAAAGGAAAATCTTCTTTTGTTCACTTTTGTTTTCCTAGAACCTACACAGTACCTGCCACATAGTAGGTATTTTTTTTAACTGAAGTATAATTAACATACAGTGCTATATTAGTTTCAGCTGTAAAATATAATGATTCAACTATTCTATACATTTCTCCGTGCTCATCACAGTAAGTGCCCTCTTAATCCCCCCACCCACCCCCCCTCTGGGTAACCACCAGTGTTCTCTCTGTATTTAAGAATCTGTTTTTTTGTTTGTCTCTTTTTTCTGTTTATTTGTTTCGCTTTGTAAATTCTCCATATGAGTGAAATCATATGGTATTTGTCTTTCTCTGACTGACTTATTTCATTTAGCATTACACCCTCCAGATCCATCCATGTTACTGCAAATGGCAAGAGTTCAATCTTTTGTATGTCTGAGTAATATTTAATTATATATATATGCAATAAATATATATTTAATTGTATATATAGTATATATACTATAGTATTGTATATATAGTATACATTATATATTTATTTATATATATCTATATATGTATATCTATATCTATCTATATATATATATCACATCTTCTTTATCCATTCACTTATGGTTGAACATTTGGGTTGCCTCCATATCTTTTTTTTTAAGATTTTTATTTATTTATTTATTTTGAGAGAGAGAACGAGCCTGAGCAGAGGGGAGGGGCAGAGGGAGAGAGAGAAGCAGGCTCCCTGCTGAACAGGGAGCCCTATGCAGGACTCAATCCCAAGACCCCAGGATCATGACCTGAGCTGAAGGCAGACACTTAACCAACTGAGCCACCCAGGTACCCAGTTGCCTCTGTATCTTGGCTATTGTGAATAATGCTGCAATAAGTATGTGTTTATTTTTAATTAAAAAAAAAACTATTATTATGGCACCACCAATATTAATATAGACTAATAGGTAAAAGCCAGATAGTAAAAAAAAGGAGAGGAAAGATATTATATGAAAACTTGTTAAGCACTGATTGAGAGCAACTATAACTCTGAGAAACTTAGTGCTGTAAATTCTAGCAGCCGAAGTAAATATGAAAACAAATTTTGTAGAGCTCTCTAATGGAAAGAAGGATATATATTCATCGGAAATGAACATATTTGGTTTGGGGGTTTAAAGTCTAAAAGGAATTTGCTTTTCCAAAAAATAAGTAACGGATAGTACCCTCTGTAACAAAAACAAACAAAAGCAATTCACGCAAAAATATTCACCACATGTGTATTTCTGGTATTACTTCTCAGGGAACAGATGTAAAAGTTTAAATGCCACTCCATAAAGACTCTCATACAGGGGACTAGATTGGGGAAGTCAATGTATTATTTTGGTAATGCTACCAGTGTAAAATTGAAAGCAAAAGTAAAACAGTCCTTTCCTAACATGATGTGCAATTCTATGACTTCAGATCACCCAAAGAGTAGAAAAGTGAAAGTTCCTACATGAGATTGATGTTGAAAACGAAAACAAAACAACAACCCACAGCTATCTAATTTATTTTCCTGTGACCATGTTTCCTTATGTTGATTAGCAGTGAAATGGAAGCAGGACACAAGTGTGCCTGCCCTCTCTGCCCCTCTATTGGTAGCTGCAATTGCAGGGCATGCTGAGGGTGGAATGTTTTAGAAAAGGCCAGGGGTAGAAGTCATTTGGAACAGTATGTGTGAGAAAGACTACTCACTTCGTTTCTCTATACTACAGCTTGGTATAGTGGAGAGCACTCTTTGGAATGCAAAAATGGTGACACTTGGACTGATGTGAGCACTGGTCCTAGAACTTATGAGCTCTGTGTTGTTGGATGAATCTCTTATCCTCTCGCAGCCCCAATTTCCACTAAAAAATGAGGATTTTAGTAGTTTGAAATGGGAAAAATAATTGTACCTATTGATCTGGGGATTTTAATGATGATAAAATGAAATGATCTGTTTGACGGCATGGGAAATGTTAAATAACTGCTTGACTTAATTATTATTCCCTAGCCTTAATAAAAAAACATTTGAGCAAATTCCTCTATGCCTGGAACCTAGTATCTGTTTTCCTATAAGAGTTGCTGAATTCAGCTCCAAAAAAAAAATCTACCACTTATGTTCTCACGAACAGTGAGACTAACAGTGTAGAAATAAAAAGAGGAAGATAGGGGGCTGAGATATGCCCTAGCAGGAGACCCTTCCTCTGGGGTGGGGGGGGGGGGGTGCACAACAATGCAAATATTTTGATTTCAGGTTCTTCAAGAAGCCAGCCAGCAATACAGGTGGATTGATTCTTATTACCATACCCAGGACAACTCTCTACTTTTAGTCTTTCATAATCCAATGAATATACAACATATGCATTGTGAACATTGGAATATTGCTCTTCACTCCAATGTTGGATTCAGGTAACCAACTTAGTTTAGTTAATAGCTATCTTAGTTTAGTTAGCTTGTTAGTTACTTAGTTACTTGGTTTTTAGTTCCTTAGTCTAAGCAAGGTGGTTCAAGTCAAAGAAAACTTCAATTTAGTTCACCAAGTTGAATGTTTGAGACGTACCAGCCACTGTGATAAGCACCAAGCTATACCACTAAAGAAGACAGTCATCATTCCTGGACCAGTTAAGTCTAATGAGGATACTATTACCTTACACTTGATTTATTTAGGTTCTAATAAAACTGCGTCTGAAAGATTTCAAGTAGAAACTATAAAACATGACATTCTGCATGCTGATTTTGGGTAACTCCACTTGATCTGGGGAAGACTCAAAAGTAGGGCAACTGAGTGACTTATCAACACACAGCCAGTCGCTCAGCAAACTGAGATCTCTAAGAATCAGTGATTTTTTTTTTCTTCCAAGCTCCTTAATTATTTCTTCATGATCTTAAACTTTCTTCTCCCTTCTCAGTAATGATGAGAATATTTCATTATTTTTTTCACTGCTGGTTAATATATATCCAGTATTTATTATTTGTACAGCATTGTTTTAGCTTAAAAGGATACAGAAAGATAGAGAATGGACTTACAGAATAACTGGGGAAACAGGTCCTGTGCTAATCCTTTGCTTACATATACAGCTTACATAATATAGTGCATTATTTTGGGAAGGGTAGGAACACTTCACATGGAAAACCATTTAGAGATAGTGGCTCCTTGGGGGCTGGATGGCAGGGCCCAATGGGAGAGATGATAGTGTGAAAAGATGAAGAACAGATTATCTACAACCTTTGCAGTTCTTCTAAAGTTAATCTTCTATTCAGGATTTCTATTTCTTCTTCAATTACTTTTGGTAATTTACATTGTTCTGCAACTTCATGCATGACATTTGGATTTTGGATGTCTGTTAGAATAAAATCAAACATTATTCTCATGTTCAAATGTCCATTCCTGAGACAGATGTATTAGTGTCTGTCTTTATGATTATAATTTTGTCTGTTTCTCCTGTCAGTTTTGCACGTGTACTGTGTGTATCTGTGTGTATGTTTAAATTGATTTTTGAATCTGTATTTTTAGAAGCATTCTTCTTAATGCATTGTAAGTTTTAGCAACATTTTAAAATGTCCCTCTTGTTCCCTTGAATGCTTTTGACCTTGAATTTCACCATGTTTGATTGGAGTCTCTTTTATATAAAAAAATTACTGATATAACTTTCTCAATCATTTTATGTGTCAACTAGGAATTATGTTTCACAATATTAATAGAAAACTGACTACAGTGGTTAAACTAATAAGGGGATTATTTTTCTTCTGTAGTGAGAAATCTGGACTTGGGCAGTGTCTCGGGGATAGTGCAGCTACTCACCAGAGTCATCAAGGATCTGGACCTTTTCCGGCTTCCTAGCCAGCCATCTGCCACCCTTTTATTTTTCTGCATCATTTTGATTTGTAGCTAAATGTCTTTTAAATATCAGCTTGGATTTTTTCAGCTACTCTGAGATCCTCTGTCTTTTAAAAGATTTTAGTAATAATTAATAACAATATTTTAAAACTTTATATTTTATTTTATTTTTTATTTTTTATTTACTTTTTTTTAAAGATTTTATTTATTTATTTGAGAGAAAAAGTAGGAGAGACAGTGAGAGAGTACAAGCTGGGAGGAGAGGGAGAAGCGGGCTTCCTGCAGAGCAAGGAACCTGATGCAGGACTCAATCCTAGGGCCCTGGGATCATGACCAGAGCCGAAGGCAGACACTTAACCAACTGAGCCACCCAGGCACCCATTTTTTTAAAGATTTTATTTATTTGAGAGAGACAGACAGTGAAAGAGAGATCATGAACAGGGGGGAAGGGTAGAGGGGGAGAAGCAGACTCCCTGCTGAGCAGGGAGACCAATATGGGACTCGATCTCAGGACTCTGGATCATGAGCTGAACTGAAGGCAGATGCTTAACCAACTGAGCCACCCAGGTGCCCCTATTTTATTTTATTTTATTTTATTTATTTTATTATTTTATTTTGAGAGAGAAAGAGATAGCACAGAAGTATTGGGGGAGGAGCAGAGGGAGAGAGAATCTTAAGCAGGCTCCATGCCCAGCTCAGAGCCCAACGGGGGCTCTATCTCATGTCCCTGAGATCACAACCTGAGCCAAAATCAAGAGTCAGATGTCTGTCTCACTGAGCCACCCACGTGCCCCTAAAACTTTGTATTTTAAAGAATTAATCTATTCACTTCTATTTTTATCAATAATGTCTTTGGCCTCATTCTTAGCATTTAATAAGCATATTTCTACTTTAGGATTAATAATCCCTTTTCTTCCTTTTGTTAGATCGAATTTTTAGTTCATTCTTAGTGTGTGATGTTTTTAAAGTTATACATTCTATTTATATCCTTCTAGAGGTTATCCTTTTAAATCAGATATTTAAATATTTTATATCAAAATTGGAGTTAATGAGTATTAATATCATTTCACAGAAAATGTTAAAATTTTTAACATATTTCCACTTACTCCCAACTAATAGCCTACCTCCATTTTGAAATTTTATTTCCAAATTTTATTTCCAATTATTAAGTAATATTTTTTAATCACAGACAAGTAACACAAATAATTATTTACATTTAATTACAAATTGTACTGTTTTTTTCCTCAGCCCTTTTATTTATATCCCATGTTGTCTTCTTTCTTGAATTTATTTTTTCAATGCAGCTGGAGTACATTTGTGAGTAATTCTTTCAGAACGTATCTGTGGCTGGTGAATTCCTGAATCATTGCATGCTGAAATATTGTCTATTTTGTCATCTCATTTGAATACTGATTTAGCTGTGTTCCCTCATCATAGAAAAATAGCAAGAACTCTAGGTTTTGTTTGAAAAGCAGACTCATTGAAAGGTTCTGAACTGGAGAGAGACATGATCTGACTTAAGAATGAAAAGAATCTCTCTGGTGACTCTGTTGAGAATAGACTACAGGGCGTCAAGAGTAGGGACATGGAGACTGGTTGGGAGGCTACTGCAGCCATCCTAGCAAGAGGTGATGGTGGCTTAAACCAGGAAAATAACAGTGAAGTAAGTGAGAAGTGATTAGATTTTGAATGTATTTTAAATATGTGTTTTAAAAAATCATTTGGGTCTCCCAACAGATTGGAAGGGGAGTATGAGAAAATAAGCATGGTCAAGGATGCCTTCAGGGCATTTGGGTTGATCAACTACAAGTATAGACTTGCCATCAGCTGAGATGCCAAAAGGCTTGACCTTGACAGGGCAGTTTGGAGAGGAAGATCAGTCAGTTTGGGAACAGGTTGAGTTTGAGATGTCTTTTCCCTTCCCAATGAAGATGTTGCATACCCATAACTCATAGTCTACAGTTTTCAGTTTATTTCTTTAAAAGGGATCAAGAATGAAAGAAAATTGTGAAATAACCTGAGTATAGAATCCCTCTAATTTTATTTTTCAAGCCTTAGGCCTTACTTTCACACAATTTGACAATAACTAATCTTGATTGTCAAACCTAAATATTTCAAATTATTTCCTCAGAAATAACTCTCTCAGGACATTCATATAAGTATACATAATATTTCATTAAAAATAAGTACAATCATCAGCATAAATAGAATGAATGAGTTTGGGAACAGATATGACCTACTCCTGGTGAACAACTGGCTGGTGTGAGCCTAAGTGCACAAGCAGTGTAGGGCACAGTATTTAGGGTGTGGAAATTTGCAGTCCAGTAAGTTTTATAGAAAGACTGGAGCATTTCAATTAATCCAGTGAGTCATTAGCTGTCATCAATTAAAAGAGTTTCTATTATGCTATAAAATTTCCTTAAAAAGAGATTGCACCATATTACTCTCCAGTTAACAGTGTTGAGAGTATCAAATTTTTTCATCTTCTGCTGGGCTGGAAACATCTCATTTTTAAATTTGTATGTCTTTAATTGTGGATGAAGTTGGCATTTTTCATATGCTCACTGGATATTTGTATTTGACTACTTTGTACAAATTACATCTAGGATATATCTGAGTCTATTGCATTTGTTACATGGGCAATTTAGGATCAGTTCATTTTTGAAAAGTTCATTTGCACAGTTGGTATCTTTAGTATTGATTGATTATAATTAATAGTAACTCAATTGTCATTTGCTCTTTTTTGCTTTTTTTAAAGGAATTATTTGGAACTTGTGGCAAAATCCATTCAAGATTGGATCGTAAAAGAAGAAGCCATATATCAGGAATCTAAAATGGCTGAGGAAATCGCTAGGACGAAGGCTGAGCTGGAATTGAAATCTGCTGGTGCCAAAATCACTTCTCCTGGCAAAATTAATGCTGTTAAAAAATCTAAAAGTAAGTAACTGGTTGAACTTACATGTAAAGTTCAAAGACATCCTCCTATTTGTTAATGTAATCAAGACTGGATACTTAAATATTAAAAAGAGTTGCCTATAAATTTCTGTGACTCTTTACTTTCTCTAAAAAATAGAATAGCTGCATTCCAAATATGATGAGGTTGATGATGGGATAATGGAATATTTGTCTTATATTGATGCCACTTCCCGCCAGACCTAGAATATTCGATCTGTCCTGCAGATTAAATGTAACGTTAGGGAAATGCCAGATGTCTTTATTTTGGCAGGGTTGATAGGTTCAGCTATCTAGGATTTATTGATAATATATGAGGCAAATTCAGAGTCAGTATCTCTCCATTAGAATACTTATAGATTCCAAAACTGAGATTAAAACAAGACCTTTCTTAGAAGAGCAAGTAGAAGAGTCCCAAGACTAATTGGGGGTAGGAACCTAAAAATAAAGGGAAAAAGGATTCTTGGGGGCTTTTGACAGGCACTTGACAGGATTTGGGATCAATACATACAATTATTTTTGTTCATTTCCATGGTTTTGATGTTGTTGGGGAAGGGAAAGAGGGTGAAAAAAAAAAAGAGGAAGGATACTTGATAAAGAAGTAAAGCAATGAGGGAACTTGTCTGGAAAATAGGGATATCTCACTAGGTTCATGATAGGTAATGTTTTCCATGTTAATAACATTCATTATCTCTGATAGCAAAAGTTGAGAGTGATTTCTCGTAAAAAAGCAAAGCTATGTATTTTCCAAAGATTTTGCAACTTCTGTAAATTACCAAAGGAATTTGTGCCGGCTTGATTTTTAAAATAAAAATTAGAGGGGCGCCTGGGTGGCTCAGTCGTTAAGCGTCTGCCTTCGGCTCAGGTCATGGTCCCAGGGTCCTGGGATCGAGCCCCGCATCGGGCTCCCTGCTCCGCGGGAAGCCTGCTTCTCCCTCTCCCACTCGCCCTGCTTGTGTTCCCTCTCTCGCTCTATCTCTGTCTGTCAAATAAATAAATAAAATCTTTAAAAAATAAATAAATTAATAAAATAAAATAAAATAAAAATTAGAAAGCCAAGTTGGTAATGAATCAGTCACCATCCACCAAAATGCTTATATAATCAATCCATCCATCAGCCTGGGCTTCCTCCTGATAGTGCCTGGAATGATGGATGGGGAGTGTATAAAAAAGAGAGGTAGGGCCACCCTCTCACAATAGAGTCTAGGGCCACACTTGTCTATGAGCAGGAAAAATTGTGGGTTGACTGCCTTTTCTTTATTCTGCTTCTGAACAGAATCAAAAGCTTAATTACCATCTAGATGCCTGGGGGAAATCCAGATAATGGTCAGTTTGGGATGGGAACACACTTGGTAGGTATTGCATTCAGTTTGAGACCTTTTAAGTCAGGAAAATTGAAAATCTTCAAAATGGAACGACTATAATGGCAAGAGCAGGGCTTCAATATAAGTTAGATTTGTTCTGTGTGGTCTTTTAAGGGGTTAAACTAGGATTAATTAGGTTAAAGCTGTAGGGAGAGAGAGACCACTTCAATTAAAGCTTCAAGGTGGCAACACAGTGAGGATGGAATGCACTGCTTCCACCAACAACAAGGATGAGGACAATGGTGACTTCCTCATCTCTGGAGGAGCTCAGTTCCACTTCAGACATCCACTCTGGAGACAGCGAGAAAGAGTGAGGAATGAATGAATGGAGAGTTGGACTTGATAGCCTTTAAGATCCCCTATAATCCAGGGCACCTGGGTGGCTCAGATGGTTAAGCGTCTGCCTTCTGCTCAGGTCATGATCCCAGGATCCTGGGATCGAGTCCTGCATCAGGCTCCCTGCTAGGCGGGGAGCCCGCTTCTCTCTCTGCCTCTGCCTCTCTGTCTCTCTGACTCTCATGAATAAATAAATAAAACATTTAAAAACAAAAACAAAAACACCATTCTTAAGATCCTCTATAATCCAGAAATTTGGTACTTCTATGAAACTTTGTTGTAGAGAGTTACTAAGAAGTTTAATTTTCTCTGGTTATAGGTAACAAAGGAATGAGCAAAACAGAGATAGTGGATCAAGAAAAAGAAAAAGAGAAGGAAATCAAGATTCCTTTCATTTTAGAAGGCTCTCTCAAGGTAATTCAAGGAAAGGCAAATGACACTGAATCATTACAAATTCAAATTTATTGTGTGGTAGAGGGTTGGTGTGGTGTAACAGAAGTGATCTTTTTAACTAAACTCTCAGAAATAATTGAATCTGCAATGAAAAAGCAGTCTCTCCACCGATCTGTCTCCTTCTCCAGGTGATAAACCTTTAAAGGACTCTTTGTCATTCATTTTTATACAACCAAAATCCAGGGCAGTGCCTTGTTCATACTTAGTATACTGTCTGTTTCTGTTGCAGGTGTTTGGTTTTTGTTTCCAATTTTTAATCGGAATTTTAATTACAAAATTGATATATGGCTTATAATAAATCAAAATTACTTTGGTTCTTCTAAGCCCCTGAAAATAAGAAATAATAACGATTTGGTATGCTCTTTACTCATACATGCAAGCATGCACAAATATAAAAAAGGTCTTCATTTGTTTGGTTTTGATTTAGATTGGTATTTTTTTTTTCTACTCTGCTACATACCTTTTTTTCTTAGCAACATATCATGACTATCACTTCCAGATAATATCTAGAGATCTAACTTATTTTCATAGCAATATTATTAGTCTATAATTTGGATATATGTAAAGTATTAAACAATTTCCTTATTAATAAGTGTCATTTATGTTTCTATTTATACAGAAATATTTTACTTTTATGTAGTCAGATCAATCATTTTTGGCCAAAATTTGAAAGACATAATACCACATTTTGGCAAGGATGTGAAGCAAATTGAATTCTCATACACTGCTGATTGAAATATAAGTGGGCACTTCTACTTTGGAAAACTGGACGTACCTATTAAAATCAAGCATACAATTTCTTTTTAACCTAATAATTCCACTCCTGGGTATATACCTAATAAAAATGCATGCATGTATACACCAAGACACATGGACAAAGTTGTTCTTGCAGCATTATTTTTTAATTCTCCCAAACTAGAAACATTCAAATATTCATCAGTGGAGTGCCTAGTATGGTTCAGCCATACAATGAAATACTGGTGAAGCTTTGGGAATGAATGACCAACAGCTACACCCAGAAATATGGATGAATCTCACAAACATCATATTGAGCACAAGAAAAGAGAATGAAACGAATATATCCATTATGTATGGTTTCATTTACATAAAGCTTAAAAACACACAAAACTAAGCTGAAGTATTGCAAATTAGCATAATGGCTGCCTTTAGGACAGTAGAAATAGGAAGTGATCGGAAAGAAGCCTGAGGAGGGCTTCAGAGGAGTGGGAAATAGCCTGTTTCTTGACCTGGTGGTGGTTACAGGAGCATTTACTTGGTGATAATTCATTCAGCTATTCAGTTAGGATTTATGCTGTTTTTGTATGCATGTTATAGCTTCTCCAAAAAAAATTTTTTTTTAAATCTGTCATTCTTTTTATGGTTTCAGGGCTTATAACAGAATGATTCCACCTTGATTTTACATCAATTTTCCTGTACTCTCTTAGAATATTTTCATGATATATTTTTTTATATTTAGATATCAAATCTACCTGAAATTCATTTTTTATAGTATAATGAAAGGGGTTTTTTCTTTGCCCACATGGATCGTCATTTTACTAGTACCACTTTATTAAATGTAACATTAATCACCTCCCCACACACCACAACTGAATTGGAATGTTGACTATATAACATAATAGGTACTTATTTATTTATTTTTATTTTTGTGACTTACTTATTTTATACATGGAAATTTGTACCTCTTAAACCCCTTCACCCATTTATTTTTTTGGATCCATTTTTTAATGCTGTATTCTGTTTCAGTCACCTTCTTAATTGTTCCTTTGCAAGCACCATACTATTTTAATTATAATAGCTTTGTTGTAAGCTTAAATATCAGGTAGGCAAGAGCTGACTTCCACACTCCCATCAGTATGCAGTAAACCTCAAAACAATGTAGGTTTATATTGGTGAGCCTCCCTGGCTTCTTGGTCTTAATGGTAAAAATAATTACATGCCAAATCTTTAAGTTTATTATTTGTTGCTGCTTAATTTTATTAAATTTTTAAAATGTATGTTGGTTTTCCTCCTTTATTTTATTGATATATTGAATTATGGAGATTTATTTAATAATATGAATAAACTTTGCATTTTTAAAACAAACTCCTCTTCAATATTTCCTAAAATTTTGTCCTCATCCCACATAATGACATATTTATAATTGCCTAGGGGTCTCTGGGGAGAAGAGAGACTTAAAATACAGATACTTTTACTCCATCTTAATTGCATCTTCTTGAGTAGAATTTAGGAATTTTAATTTTTAATAAGCTCCTAGAACCACTTTTATGCACATTATAGATTAAGAATTATAACACATTTTTTTCATGGTATGTTATTATTTTACTAAACAACTGGGTTTGGTCTGATACTATTTTATCTAGATTTTTTGTGTCCATGATAAATGAAATTAGTCTATAGACTTTCACGTTGTTATTAACAAGAATCAGTATTAAGGTTAGTTTGCCTTGAAAATAAATTAAGGAAGGGTTTTTACTTGGAGGAGGGAAGATGGCAGAAAGAGTAGGGGACCGTAGTTTCATCTGGTCCCTTGAATTCAGCTAGATATCTATCAAATTATTCTGAACACCTGTGAATTCAACCTGAGATCTAAGAAAAGAATTGCTGCAATTCAGCAAATAGAAAATTGACCACTTTCTGCAAGGTAGGAGGTGTGGAGAAGTGAATCTAAGGGGATATATTGGAAGACAAACCACAGGGAGAGGGAGCCTCTGTAAGCCAGCTACTGGAAAGTGATATAGCAATGGAGTACAAAACTGGAACTCTTAAAAGTCTGCTCCAGTGAGGGATGCCACTGCCTGAAAGATGCTCAGGTGGTGAAGGAGAGCAGAATCCTAGGTGGGACAGTGTGGTCTCAGGATCCCCACGGTCACAGAAAGAATGGGGGTGCCCGAGTGTGGCAAAGTTCCCAAGCATTGGAGCAGGGAAGCAGACTACATTCAGTGAGCCTGGGAGTGGGCTCTCAGCTCAGTGTTGCCATAACTGTGAACCCCAGCACAACTGGGCAACCACTCTCCAAGGAGGGGCCCAACAAGTGGCAGAACCTCTATGAGGACCCTTTGGCAGCCTGGTGAAGTCTCTATATAGACACCCTTCTCAGATTGTTTGTAAGTGCACAAAATAAAAAGAAAAATTACAAAGGAAACCAATTATGTTGAAATACAATTTTTTTTTTGATTGTGCAGCCTTTATTGGACATTGATCTTTCAGCAAAGTGCAGTTACATTTTCCATTAATTTACAGTAACACAGTTTAACTTTGATACCCTAGACTGTTGACCCAGGTGAGATGTAATGCTAAATACTTGTTTAGGTTAAGATGCCCTCAAACATCATTACTGTCTGAATGGTAAGTGCTGAAAAAAAGATACCCGATCTACCAGCTTTAGGATACAGTTTCTGTTATCTGCATTAGCTTTTAAATGAAATGAAACCAAGATCCTGTCTTGATGTCACCCCACCCATTTAAACATCATTCATTCTTTAATAGAATTAAGAGATACTTCATGAAGCATTATAGATGTTCTTGCTTAGAGTTTTGAGTGAATATAAATGACAAGAAATAAAATGTACATTGTAAAAGAAATATGTATGGCTTTTAATAATTAAAAATGTTTCGTTTTTTTACTGAAGTCAACAATTAGCAAAATCTTAGTGACCAAATATGTGTGATAAAAGAAATAGCTATTTGTCATTTTGGTATGATAAGACATTAGCACTGAGAAACTAGGAGCAGCATGGATGTGCACAGGATCAGGCAAGCACAGTGACCCTCCTCCTCCACCCAGGAGGATTGGTGCAGGTTTGCACCTTAGGAGTCTTCAGAGTTTGGCACACACAAAAGTAACTGAGTACTTTTTCCTGAGGGCGAACTGAAGTGTAGGGGCCATGATAATTCAGCTCTGAGGCTGGAGATTGGGTGGCTGCCATTTTTTTTTCCATCCTCTAAAGCTGAGGGGAAAGCCTTCAGGGAACAAAAGCTACATAGAGCAATCTGATGCAGCTTACACTGAGCCTGGCCCCCTGGCAAGGGGCAGTGCAACTCTACCCAGGCAAAGACACCGGAGAATCAAAGACCCCACCTGCAGAAGACCAGCAGGAATATCAGGCTAATACCAAGTTTATGGATCACACAGAATGGAAATCTCCTGTACTAGGGGAAAATAGTATATAGAATTCGAGGTTTCATCTCATGATTCTTTAGTCATTCAATTTAAAATTCTTTTTCTTTTTTTTTTTCCTGTCCAACTAGTTTCTTATTTTATCAACTCTTTTTTAAGTCTTTTCTAAATTTTCAGTTTTACATTTATAATTTATATTCTTCATTTTTTGCTTCCTTTCACTATTCAATTTTATTTATATATATGTTTTTATATATATATTTATATGAGTTATTTATATATATGAGATATATATGTGAGTTATTTATATATAATATATATTTATATTAATATATAATATAAATATATATATATTTATATATAAAAATATATATATGAGTTTTTCTTTCTTTACAATTTTGGGATTTAGTGTCTTCTAATAGACCAAAATACACCTAGGACCAACTGGATCACTCCGTTTTGTCCACCTGTGAGATTATATTCTTTCTTATATCCTTTTTTTTTTTTTGGTTTCCTATCTCTTTGGATTTGTCTAGTGTATATTTCGCTGGGGTCATGGCTAATATTTTTTATTTTGTTCACTCATTCATATATTCTTCTCTGGACAAAATAACTAGAAAGCAAAGTTCACAAAAAAAGAAAGAACCAAAGGTAATACTCTCTGCCATAGATTTAATTGATATGGATATAATTAAGATGTCAGAACTAGAATTCAAAATGATTATAAAGATACTAGCTGGACTTGAAAAAAGCATAACTAGAGAATCCCTTACTACAGAAATAAGAGAACTAAAATCTAATCAGGCCAAAATTAAAAATGCTT